GTCACTAACTCGAACTCCGCCTTGCCATACAAATACGCTTTGAAATGTTCGACCGCCCTGCCAAGAGCCAACGCTTCCTTTTCTGTCTGGCAGTATCTTCTTTCGCATTTTGTCGGACTTTTATTCCTATATCCGATGATTCGTGGTCCCCTATCGTCAAACTGAATACACTGTCAGTTGGATTATAGTATCCCAGTGATTTGATTTTTGTTGATATTTGTTTGATTAGTTCAAATGCCTTTCGTTGTTCGTCTTTTCAATGAGTTTCAATGTTTGCATGTTTTCCTAATTTCAGTCTCAGTATGTGTCGAAATGGTTCTGTTAATGTCGCTAGGTTTGGTATCCACTTGCCCACATAGTTGATGGGGCCTAAGAAACTTTGAATCTCGTCTAAGGTTTTTGGTGATCTGAACGTTTTTATGACCCCCACATAGCTATCAAGAGGTGTGATTCCATTGATCGATAAAGTATGACCCAAGAATTGGAAACTTTTCATTCCATACAGGCATTTCGCCTCATTCAATAAAATATCATTTTTGCGTAATGTTTTCAATGTGAAACGTAGTCTAGAGTTGTGTTCTGTTTCATCTTTCCCAAATACAAGAATGTCGTCTATGGAATTAACAGTGCCTTCACTCTTCAGAAGAATTCGTTCTAATGTTTTCAGGAATATTTCAGGTGCACAAGATATTCCAAACACCAGTCTCTAATATCGAAACAGACCATTACTACTGATGAAAGTTGTGATATGACGTGAATCAGGTGATATTTCTAATTGATGAAAAGCATTCTCTATGTCTAATCTGGAAAACAGTTGAGAATTTCTGAATTTTGGGAGGAGTTCGTTCATAGTTGGGAGAGGATAGTTCCCTCTGATGATTGCCTTATTAGCTTCTCTCATATCTACGCATATCCTAACCTCACCGTTTCCTTTTAAAACTGGAACGAGGGGAGAAACCCACTTGGATGGACCGACCACCTCTTCAATTATGTCGGAGTCTAATAGTTCTCTCATTTTGGTGTTGACTTTCGTTTCTAAGGGGATGGGTAGGTACTCTTCTATATGGTTGACGAATTGGCTTGACGTTTTCATCGATTGGAATATCAATGAGAACGTTTTTGAATTTAGGGAAGGTGGACACGTTGTTCACCGACTCCAACCTGATTTTCAAGACTCCTAAATCTTTTGAGGTGTCTTTTTCTATTAATTATTTGTATCATTTTTGATTACATAAAATGTGGCATCTAAATGTTTGTTATTTATTCCTATTTTGGATACGAGAGAACCTAATACCGTTAAAGGTTTATTGCTTCCATAGGCATTTTTTTTAGGATGTTTTTCTTGATAAATGATTTGAACATTATGTTCTTTCAAGTATTCCCAGGTCTTATCCGTTATAAGATTACTTTTACTCCCGGAGTCTATCAAAATTTTTGTCTTTACCCCACCTAATGAACAAGTTATTGTTTCATCTTGGTCTATATGGAAAACATGGTCAATTTCATTTTCCGAGTGTGAATCTTCTGTGATGAAACGAACTCCAGATTGTCTTGGTTTTTTATTTTTTGAAAAGTAATTCCTCAATAATTCTTCATTTTTCCTTTTGGAAACTTTTGACTTTGGCTGGCGTGTTCTACAATATGCTGCAATATGTCCAGGTATGTTGCATTTATTACAATTCTGCCGTCTAGCTGGATATTTTGAGTCGTTAGAAAAATGATTACTGCGACCACATCTAGTACAGGCTTGTTTTGATTTACCTTCAAACCTTGAATTCAAAGCATTTACTTGGTCGCCGTTTCCTGAAGAACTTCGTGAAATCCTCCCAGTTCTCTATTTACTGTTTCTAGAGATGTAGCCCTAGAGATGTAGCCTCGTTGATCACCCTTTCTAGAGTTATCGAGTCCACAGCTGCTAATATTTTCTTCCGTAATTTGTTTGAGTTACCCTTTTTCACTATTTGGTCTATTCAATTTTCTTCTATATTGGAAAATTTACATTTTCCTGCCTGATTTCTAAGTCTCAAGAAAAATTTCTCGATTCCTTCTCCTTCTTCTTGCTTCATCAGACGAAAAACGTCGTTCATAAACTCCGCTATGTTATGGTGAGAAATATTTATCAAGTTTTGTGATGGCTACTTCGTAGACATCCACTCCTTCCTCCTGGTTGACATTGGCTCCTGGTATGTTATAAAATATTTCTTGCAATCCTAATCCACCTTGATGTAGAAGGTTCGCTTTTCTTCGAGGGGTTTCCAATACCGGCAGCTTCGATGTAAATAGAAAACGCTCTTTTCCATTTCTCCCAACGAAGGCCGACTGAACAAATGTCTCCCTCGACATCGAATTGACTAATGTTACAGGTATTTTGGTTCATCACGTCTAGAAATGATATATATATATATATATAATTAAGAGTGCCCATTGGTGCCCCCTATTTGAGCTTTCGCTCACACCTGTAGCCGTTTCAGGACCTACAGTATTCGGACTTGGTCCAGGTCTGTGACCCTCAGACATTTCGTCTGTTCGAGTTTTCACTCAGGCCTGTGGCCTATTCATGACACATCGGTCTTCGGACATCCTGGTCCAGGTCTGTGACCCTCAGACATTTCGTCTGTTCGAGTTTTCACTCAGGCCTGTGGCCTATTCATGACACATCGGTCTTCGGACATCCTGGTCCAGGTCTGTGACCCTCAGACATTTCGTCTGTTCGAGTTTTCACTCAGGCCTGTGGCCTATTCATGACACATCGGTCTTCGGACATCCTGGTCCAGGTCTGTGACCCTTGTCTAATAATCTATCATACCCAGTTCAAGTTTCCAAAGTATTTCATTCAAATGTGACGAATTGAAAAATATGAAATTGACTGCATTCAGAATCGACCCGTATTCAATAATTGCTGCACGTCACCATGTCAACGGTTTTTCATTCTATGATTCATATTGTGGACTGAGCGTATATTTCACTCTACAAACTAGAACTGGGCGAGCTAGGTTCAGATGTCTTTTGCATATTTCTTCTACTCACCCTGATTAATCAACTTATTCCAAATTATTTTCACTCGTCGCCACTGTAATATACTGGGATTGGGTAACACAATTAAACACCGATGTGCACTGTACGATCGTCCAGACACTAATGAATCTCCTTATCATTATTTCAACCTATCCGCATTGCGATGGTGATGATTCACTCATGTCTTTCTGATCCGTTTATTCATAATTACTGGATACTACAATAACCAGCAACAATGAGTATTTTAGATACTGACCTTTGAGAGTCCTTATCAGAGCATACTAGTCCCATTTGAATATTATTGGGTTTTTGAGTCCGATTGTCAACTGCTGCAGGTGGAATTTCAGTTTGAATGGCTTTACAAACGTTTGTGTTCTCAGTCTGTGAGTACTTTGCTTTCAAAGATGTAAGTGTCTGGGTAGTAGAATTTTTTGTTGATCTGTTTTTTTCTCTCAATTGTTTCCTCAGTTCCCTAATTGTATCTTCCATCTCCGCAACCACAATCTCTTGTGTTTTCAATAATTCATTCAACTCAGCCTCAGACTTCATCGCCTCGTGAACAAATGTTTGATGTCTCAATTTTAAGTCTTCAATGTATTTGCTTTTGGTCACACTATCCTCACTAATTTCACTTATTGTTTGTTCTAAGATGGAGATATCTTCGTCACGATTCGATTTGTTGGCAGTATCTGTATCCATACAACAAACTATTTGGTGACCTTTCAACATTTTCGCTTTCCTATATTTAGGTAAACAGCATTTATGGATAATGTTGTGACATTTAACACACACATAATGGATAAAAGGTCTTTTAACGCAGCATTTAAAAGTACCATCACATGACATATTTGATACTTTAGCAATACTCTCTAGCCTGTAATGAAGATCTCCTAGAGATTCTGGTTCAATTCTTGATAGATTTTATTTTGTAAAAACTGGTCCGGTTTTTTATTCAGAAGCACACAGGTATATACATAAAGTTTGTGATGTGTTATTGACTGAGAACCAAAAATGCACTTTTTACCCGAAAACCGAAAATATTCAGTTCACAAAACCTCTCTTCAGTCACTGCACTCACTAAAAATTTTATTTTGTGAAAAAACTATTAATTGATGTGCTTTTTTTCAATCGATTCATAGGCGAAAACGTGGAGCAATTTTTATATACGTGTGTATGCCACCAACAGTTAGATTAATTGAAAGTTAGTAGCATGATGAAACTACTGGTATGAAGTAGTTTTATCGAATTTACAATTTTTTTAATATTACAGAAATTTCGAAATTTTTTGAAAAATATCGAAATCTAAAACATGTAATAGAGAGATAAAATCCGAGTCACATATGTAAAATTTTAATAGAAACAACTTTTTAATGAACTTTTTCAATATTCGAACAAATAAGCCTACTTTCAGCGATTAATTTGAAAAAATGTCACTTTTGACATGTAGCGAAAGTCACGTGACCCCGATTGAGTAGGCCACTTTCCATCTTCTTTGAAGCAAAACTTAACGTTCAACTCGAATTTCAAAATAAGTCATTAATAAAAGTTTTTCTCATATGATGCCGACTTTATGAATGACACTGTATAGATTCTAGGAACAGAAATAGTAAAAAAAGTTCATGCAAACGTGAGTCCAGAAAGGCCCCCTAGGGAGTATATTTTTCTGTTAATATTCCCGAACCCTCTGTGTTGAAATAATGGAATTTTGTAGATGTATATAACTTTTCATGCCCGATTTGGAAATGTTGAGGTTTTTTTTTAAATCAGAGGAGTGAGAAATAGGTGGGGCTAGGGGCATTTCTTCCCCAAACTTTTTTCTATGCAATTTTTGGCAGGTTCACCAGGATATATGGAGATATCAACACTTTTTCATTTATAAATGGTACTTCGTCAATGAAATTTCTGGACACCCTGTATATATTTTCAGATTTCACAGATTTCATATAGATGATGGTTGAAGAGGGTGAACTGTTATGTGGTTTCAGATGGTCCAGTTTGCACCATTTCTGGTCTGCTGTGTTTATCGAAATATTCTGAGGAATTGACGAAACCTGCATCAGAAGTGGGATGTGTTTGTCCCCAGCCTTGTCACATTATCACTTATTTGCCTCTCAATCCCAAGTACACTAAATGGTGAGAATTTCTCTTAAATCGTTGTCAGCAATGTCAGAATTATGATAAGAGTTTTTACGTCGACCTCTACAAAAAATCACATTTCACGTTCTAATTTCCGAACGAGAAACCGACTATTTCCGCCTGATTGCTAGCCTCGTCTGAGGCTTCGGCTATCAAATTGCAGACTCGACTATAATATAGACAGTGTTTCGTCCTTGGTACATAAATAACTATTTTGTTATTCAAAATAACCTTTACTTACAAAATTTATCACTATATATTTTTTCTTTTATGATGGAAATAGGTATAGGAATTATAATTCTTACTTTCAGGGAAATAGGGGGATACTTTGATCAAAGAATCACGTTCAGATGGGGCCTTCTACATCCAACCACCAAATATAGGAGAGATATTATTTTTGGATTTGGAGATTTTATAGGTAGCTAGAGCGACACCTATACTAACGTAGGTATATGATTCAAACACAAAATGACTATCTATTTTTTTCCAGTTTCACTTGGAGGAACGTACAACTTATTCTTGGGAATAAGTTTCATAACATTGATTGAAGTGGTTTTTCTGATGTGCGAATCTCTCGTTAAGAGTTTGGGACATTATAGAGATAGAAAACGAATTAGAATTCATCAATGCAACGCACTTATCCAGTGACTAGAAAAATTGAATTGGATCAAAATTACAAATAAAGAATGTGCAAACCAACGAAATGGTTTGATGACGATATATTAATAATATTAATAACTATTGAGTGTCATTGAAATGCTAAGAACTAAATATTTTTCGAATTTCGAATAATAAAATCTCAGAAATGTTTAGAATTTCAATAAGGTTCCTTAAACGTCGAACATCAGTCGTGGCTGTAGTCACTCCCTTTTTTATTTTTCATCTGTCAAATGTCAATCTGTCACTGGCAGTCAGCTGTGTCTGTCAATCTCTTGTCAATGTTCATGAAACATGAACATTGAACTGTCAAGGTCAAGTTGTTGTTGTCATGGGGGGTGCTTTTGCTTGAAATTTGAAGTGCTTTTTTTTGTTGAAAATCCTGGGTTTTCCCACTTAATTCTAGCGATAAAAGATGAAGACTGATTTCCTAAATCTAATTCCGAGTGCTCTAACCATAATCTATGCAACTTATGGCAGCTGGTTTCTTATAAAAGAGATATTCTGCAGCTTCCTTCCATTCACAGTTATATTCACAGCAGCCCTAGTATGTCTTATGGTTTGTCTGAGAGTCCCTCCACCGGATAGTGCTGCAGTGGAAGCTGTTTTGGGGAAAGAACTACACTTGGAGAACACAGATGGAGGTTATGTCATGAAAACTGTTGCACATAGAGGTGCTGGATATGATGCCCCTGAAAATAGTCTTGAAGCATTCAAATTGGTAAGTACTGTTCCAACTTTCGATAGACAGTACTTCTTCTTTTTGTCTTTGAACTTCCATTTGTATTTATTTAGGTTCAAAAGTGAACTTTCTTTGTTGCAGTGCCATGAAAAAGGTTGTAATGTAATTGAGTTTGATGTTACTCTGACAAAGGATGGAGTTCCGATAATTTTCCATGATAAGACTTTAGAGAGGATGGCTGATGCAGATGTGACTGTGAATGATTCCACTTGGGAAGAACTGGCCAATATCAATATATCAGTGAACCATCCCCTCAGGTTAGCAATCAAAAATAGTACATAGTCAAATCAATGAGAACCATTTAATTGAAGTGGTGAAAGATTTTAAATGTTTTTGGTACAACAATGAGTATATGTAAACCTCTCAGAAACAACATTGAAACCATTTCATTATTAGCCACCTAACATAGAATGAGGCTTGGCTGCTTGGGTGATTTTTGAATGGTTTATTTTCTCTTCATTGAAGAGGACCATAGCAAAGTTTCCCCATATTTTTTCTAAGGCTGAAAAGTAGCATTGCTTTTCTCCTAATTCTCCTGTTTTGCATGTCTCAACTAAAGTATATTACAGTTTGATATTGCTTCACAAAATTGAATATCAGTTATTCCAACATGTACCTAAACCATGGTGTTATCAAAAAGATTATCAGTAAAATTGAAAAAAGTTGTTTAAAGATCATTGTCCATTATGTAAACAAGTGATATCTATAAATTCAATAACAAAGAGATGCAATGTATAAAATGCATTTAGACTTGTATTTCCTGCATATTCATCTAATGCTTGTAATTTTGCTATACTTATATTTGAATAGGAACATCATTCTATAACAATTCACCAATTTTTCAACAGGGACAGGGTTGACCTAATTGACTTTACTAACTCCAGAATTCCAACCCTAGACTTGACAGTGCAACAGTTGCTTGCAAATGGTCAAAGAATGTTTATTGACATTAAAGATAATGATATAAAGGTAATAGGTGATGAAAAATATTATATCTGAACATTTTTTATCAACTGAACAATGGTATGAAAGGACCCTACATTTGGCTAACAAATTTTAGATTGTTCCTGTTATCTTAGACTTGTTCAAAAAGTATCCAGAGCTTTTATCTAGGGCAGTTGTAACTTCATTTTTTCCAAATATTATTTACTGGGTGAGTAATCATTACCATTTATTCAGAAATTGGGTGGTGAACAGTTCAATAATCTTGAGATCACATTGTTTTTAGATCCGAAGAAGTAACCCAAAAATTGTTGGGTGTCTGGCCTGGAGGCCCTACTGCTTCACACATGAATCTTTCAGATATCCAGAGGGAAAAGGCGATCGTAAAAACAAAGTGCTCTACAAACACTACCTATTAATGTTCTGTAATATGCTGCATAACTGGGCCTTACCAAGAATCACATATTATTTGCTTGGGCTTTCAGTAATTTTATTGCAAAAGGATTCTGTGAGTGGGTATGTGTTTTTGTAGAAAATTAAAATAATCGAATTGGTGATAGATTGTGAAGTATGATTTTTTTACTGAATGTGGATAATTTATTGTGGGCCATTATTTTCAGGGAGAACATTTTATATTGGCGAAAAAGAGGTGTCAGGGTGATAGCTTGGAGTGTGAATTCTCTGATTGAGAAACAGCACATTTCCCGCAACCTCAAAATAACATATCTGACAGATACCCTGACTGGTGAAGAAACTGTTCATAATGTGCATGCCTCATGATCTTGTTCAGATTGCACAAACCATTTTGTGTAAAACATTCTTAACATAGGAATTATAAAATTGCCAGAAAGCTTCTAAGTATATGAAGTTTTCCAAAATATAGTTGATATGTTTTGATCTTAGCTTGATTTGGTTAACTGAAATAAATATCTTTTTATTTCTTGCCAAAGATGATGCATGATTCAATGATAATACAAGAAATCCTTAAGGTGCAGCATTTAAATTTTATATATTTCATTTATTGGTTCTTTACAAGAGCAATTTATTATGTTTATCTTGAATATGTGATTTTATATACATTATACATGCCATTCATCAAATTTGTATGTTTTTTCTTTACCCAGAAACATTTACACAACAATCAGGTGAATATTTCCTTCCATTTCTTCAGGGCCTAGAGTGGTACCCCACAGATTGTTTTAATCAGGAATGACACTTTGCAAATTTATTCAGAGCATCAGCCTTCATCATTATTCCAATATCAGTCTCCAAATACCTGAAAACAGGTGGTAAGTCCTCAGGGACATCTTTGCCCATCAAAGGCTGTATTTCCTTCCAGCTAAATGCATACAAGTTTGTTTTGGAATTGAGGGGTCCAAAATCAACAACAATTGGTCTATCTGGGTACTGAAAGACCACATCAAATATATAGTTTTCTCTAGGGAATGTAATTTTGATGTTTTCAATATAAAAGCTCATCAGTTGCTCTATTATTCTAGGACCTTCTTCTTTGAAATGTGCATAGTATGTTGGCCAGTCTCTAGGAGTAATGCCTCTTAGAACATTGTTGATCACTATACAGCGAAACTCAGCTGCAGGATGTAAGCTTATCCATTTTCTCAAAGCTATACAGAATGGAATGCCTTTGATGTTTGAAAAATCATCCTGTATCACTCCAGAACTAGTGAAATACAGTATAACATCTTCTATGTTGGACACTTTCAGGTTATTCCCAAAACTAAACATTTTTGCATCTATTGGTGCATGCCAGTTATTTTTCACAAAGGCACTGTTATTCAGACGGTTCATAGCATTTTTGAATGTTTGGACGAATTCAGCTGACAAGGGTTCTGGAGAATCCTGGTTTTGTAGCTCTGGCTCAGATTCCTCTTCGGAATCATCTGCAAGGATTATATCAGCTTGGATTCTTTTCAACAACTCATCTGGCAATTCTATCATGATTGTCTCCATTGATATGTGCTTGAATTTATCGTACCAATTTGAAATTGAAAAATCACGAAAATCTGTGATTTCCAGCATCTTCAAGTTAAGAATTTCAACAATTTTGCAAAGAAAAGTTTTTTAGTCTTTATTAGAGCAAACTATGGAAACAAAATCAACTCTACCATTTTAGCAACACAAACGAACAGACCTCATATTGTATCACGATCACGTGACAAGCTGTGACCATTCGTAATGAGGTTTGGGAATGGTTCGAAAACTTTAGGATCTGCCTGCTGGTCAACAGTCACTTTCTATTCCTGACATTGACAAATGACAAGTCACACAACCATAAGCAGCTAAGCACATAAGAAGCATCAAATAAAGGTGCATCAAATGAAGACATCGTGAAAGTGGGCAAATTCAACTTCGTAGATATTTTGAATTTAAATGAAAACTGATTTTCTGGGTAGCTCTGGAAATGGAAAAAACTCTACCCAAATCAAGAACAAGCTATAAGAACAGAACAAAAATGCAGTTGCAGTGCCGAGTTTGTTTCACTCAAAGCAATAATGTTATGTTTGATTTGAATGATGAACTACAACTGGAAGCCAAAGTCAAAATATCCTATTTGCAAGCTCTACGGCAAGTCACATCATCCAAAGTGAGTATTCAAGCTCTTTTGTAACCCAGGACAGCATTTATTTTGGGATATTTTAGGTCAGTCAGTATGAACCCTATCCCACAAGTATTTGCCCTGTATGTGCCAGTCTCCTGAAAATGGCTTTGCAGCTCATAATTCAATACAAAACAACACAATTGAAACTCAATGAGATGTTCAATTTCAGCAGTGATGAAACAGATGAAGGTGATACCAAGGAAGAAGATTATTTTCAAGAAAATAAGCCTTCAGTGGAATTAATTTATAAGGATAAAAAATTCAATGTACAAGAACTTGTGGTTGTTGAAGATGTCAATCAGAAAACTTGTGATTACCAGGGGTTTTTGAATAACCTTGGAAGGGAAGTGACTGCAACTTTTGCAGATTATCAAAATTTGAGAAAAAAATGTAAGGAAGAAATAGAAATCAATGAGGTTTCTGTAGCTGTGAAAGAAAAAGATAGGTATGTTCCAGTGAAAGAAATTCAAATTGACCAATCATCCAACCAAATAGAGTATATTGTTGAGGATGTCATAGATGCAGGTGATGTTAAAATTGAAGATATTGATATAAAAAATGAGAACCACTATCGGGTGATTACTTCAAAACCAGAAAAAGAAGCAGAAAATGAAAATAATGAATACACTAGAACTGAATCAGCTGATGTTATTGATGATTTTATTATTAAAAAATCAAAGATGGCAATGTCAAATAATTCAGAAATACAAAGGATCAAAGATGAAGGACTCAAAAGTGGATTTTTTCAATGTGAGATTTGTGCTAAAATATATTCAAGTTGGAGGAAACTTCGTCTACACAGAAGCAGAATCCATCTAACCAAAGACAAGACTTACACTTACACATGTGAAATTTGTGGTGTCCAGTGTAAAAGCAAATCAAGTAAGGAAATTTATACAATTTCATTATATTCCTAATAGCTGCTTGTGACAGTCACAATATCTAATTTCAACATCAATTTTTTTGCAGCTTTCATCCACCACAAACTCAAACACACCGGAAAGAGATTTAAATGTGAGGTGTGCAACAAGTCATATTTCACCAAGGCTCTGTTGAAAGTCCACAAACTAGGGCATGCAAATGAGCGGCAGCACTTATGCCAGGTATTGATATTTCACATATTTCACAATTTTTCTATAGGAATAATTTAAATTCAACAATGTGGCTGTGCACACTAGGCAAATTTTTGCCACATACCTATTTTATATTGATCATTCTATCTATAAATAGTATTTGATGCAAGGTTAGATGATGTCATGAGCAGAATTCTGGCTTTCCTATAAAAAGTAGGACATTATATTTCCACCAGAAAAAGTTGTGCATTTTTGTGTTTTTTTGTTCATTGATGAACTATTATTATCACTATTTCTACTAATGCTATTATATGTCAACTTGGCTGAAAGACCAGTCAATGGGTTTTTGGGGTATACCCATATAGGCACGTTATATGGACTTGCAGATACTTTCAAGGTCAATAACTCTGTAAAGAAGTGTGATAGACATTTTTTTATATGAAGTACTACATATCACAATATGTTATTCATAACTTGTCAGTCATTTTTTTGCTAATGAAATCGAAATCGTTTCTCAATAAAACGGATCAATTTTCTAAGAAAGTTGCAGATTATATCTTGCAACAGCGCTTAAAATTCCGAGTCTATCCACACTGCTCAAAATACTGACAAGCACAACAAGAGGAACGAGCCATGGGTGTCGGCTTCATTCTGTTCTGACCGATGACAGTAAATTAGGAAGGATAGTATCATAGAATGTAGCCGATAGTGATTCATTTATTCAATGATATTTTCGTTTAGGATCGATCTCTGTTCGAGATATTTCAATGCATGAATAACAAAACCATAACCTGTCAGATCGAAGCCAACTACCCTCTGCATTCCTGCTCCGAGTGCATTTGTGGTTATGTATGTTTTTGTTTACCAGATTTACTTCTTCTATTCTTGAGAAATTGCTTTACTTTGAAAATAAAAGAGACTTGGACTTTATCGGTAATGTGTATTAATCATTTCGATAGTCGGCCGTCAGTGTTATCTGGGAAGTGTATAATTTTTATTCAAAATATCTCGAAAACCAAACAAGTACCGTTCTATTCAGGTGTGCGGCGCTACCTTCAACTACCCTAACGCCCTTATCTACCACATGCGGCTGCACACTGGCGAAAAAAGTTACAAGTGCGAGTTTTGCCAGAAAATGTTCCGGATGCCCGGAGCTCTGAATAGGCACAGGAGGACGCATACGAATGACAGGCCATACAAGTTAGTGATGCTCAGTACTTTTATTTTCTACTACTTCTTGATGTTTTTCTTCTGGAGACACATTCAAAAGTTTCAATGGGGTTGTGCACACTAGTGGAATTTACGCCACAAACCCATTTCATGCAATAATTCAATGATATTAAGAAGGAAAAATCAATTTTTAGATGTCAATTTTGCGACAAGCGCTTCCGATCGCTCGGCGAAGTGAAAAGCCACGAATGCATCCACACCGGTCATCGCCCCTACTCGTGCCCCCTCTGTCCCAAGGGCTTCTACAAAACGCACAACATGCGCGTCCACATGCTGTCCCACCCTGGACCCTACCGCTGCCCCTTCTGCCCTAGGGGGCTAGCTGCCCCCCACCTGTTGCCCCTCCACGTGAAGACGTCGCACAAGGGGAGGACGGTGGGGCCCGAGGGGGTGGAATTAGTGGAGGAAGAGGATAGTCAGGGGAGCGAGGAAGTGGTGTATTATGTGGAGGAGGGGGGATTAGAAGGTGATTTCGAGGGGGGATTGGAGGAGAATTTGGAGGGAGAAATGGCGGTGAATTTGGAGGAAGAGTTGGAGGGAGAGCAGGTTATTTGCTAGGGTAATGTTCGTGAATTTTTCAATTCCCTTTCGATAATAAACTATATTTAATTGGAAAAGAGTATCAGTTGCATTTAATGGAGTTGTACACAGTACTCGAATATACACCACAAATATATTTCATATTGATCGTTCCGTGTATAAATAGTATTTGATGCAATCATTTGTTATTTGAAATCATTGTGTGGTGCCTTTTATATGATGAGTATGGTACTGGGGTGCATTTCATATAAGAAGAAGGGTATACGTAAAAAGATAGATAGCAGTGAGAGGACAGACTGTCAGACAGTAGGAGATGGATGTCAAGAAAGTGGCGAGTTTGGCGAATTCAGGAGAATACTCCTGAAATTGATCACCCGATGTAAGAATCAATGGCCAGTGATGCATTTGACGTAGTTGGAGTTGTTCCTGATACGAATACAGAACATACAAGATACGAACTGTGAGTAATTAGTGCTTATATTCAATTGACATTGCCCGTAACGAAATCCACGTTACCTATAAAGCAGTGCCCACATTCATCCTCATTAAATATTGTATATCAAGAATATTAGCGTCTTATTCCCTGAGAGAAAGAGGCTCATCAATTGTAAATATTTTTTTTTCAATAATGAATTTTGGCACCTTTGAAGAACGCCAGCTCTGGTGACGTCACGAATCGAACCGGAAGTCATAGTTATGTGGATTCTGGCTTGAGTATAAAAAGTAGGACCACATATTTGGACGCTGTCAGCTTTGTAACTAGTAATTACCTATCTTATGAAATTCAATATGACCAGTGACAAAAGTATTCACATTCACAGAAGACAATAGTTCAAACTGGTCCCTAATAACCACTTATTCAATACTTATATACATATATCTGGCAAGATGCTTCACCGCTTCAGTACCAATAAAAATATCCTAATATTCCTAATAATGATCGAGATTTTATTTCGACTCAAATCATTTTGTGGTCCTGCCAATAGCAGAAAGTCTAGAATAATACAAGAAGAAAAGAAGAAGACGAAAAGCATTGTCAAACTAACTTCCTAACGTCATCAATATCGTCCGTCACTTTCATCTTCAAATCCTTGTTTCATCTTGTCAAAATGCCAATATTCAAAGATATCCCTCCTATTATCTGATTCTACAGTTGTTTGTTCTATTCTCTGTTATCTCTAGTAAGTAGTCAGTCTGAAAATTCACTAGAGTATAGGGCGAGCACCTTCTGAGGAGGCGAACTTTTTTCATGTCTTGATTGACATGACAATCAGAAATATTCTTACACTTGTCTTTGAGAAATGAAGAATAAGGAATAATAGGGGATTGAAGGGAAATTGGGAGGGGGAATCGGAGTAGAATTTGGAGGGAGAGCATGTTATTTGCTAGGGTAATGTCCTTTTTTTAAAAATTCCCTTTTGATAATAAACGATATTTAATATCAGTTGCATTTAATTGTTATGTTATCGTTCTTTGAAATTCATTCATATTCATTCCCGATAATAATGAAGCACCTATACCTTGTTTTTTATCGATCATAAATAGAAATGGCCGTAGTTAACCTTTCTTTCGGATATTTTGGGTTGTAAATCAGTTAGCCGATAATGATTGTGTGCTTTGGTGGTTGTGAGTTGGGTGTTGATGAAATTTTATGTGTTTTTTCATTGGTGACTTGGGATACATTCCGAAATCAACTATCAATGCTGAATCTGCTGATTTCCTATTCCAAAATCCACTGAAAGTCTGCTACATAATATGGTAATTCATTTATGATCATCAAACAATAAAATTATTCAAATCAATACAAACTCAAAAAAAGTCCCTCTTCGCAAATTGTTATCAATGCGCTAACATTGTCATTTTTTGTTGTTGAATTTAGTTGTGATGAAATAAGAATTTTTGGTGAGTTGGGTTGCTGAATATTCTGTTCGTTGAGTTGAGTGTCGAGTGGAGTCAAAGGCCTTTTCATTTTGATATATTTTCAAGACGCATGTACTTGTTTTTAGATCCAACATTTGATTGGGTTATGCGAAGGTGAAGTCTCATTGGCTTTAGTTCCGACTCAAAATTCTGATTGGCCATTTCGAATATGGCGGTTTTTATTGGCGTTATTGACGTTCTGTCAAATGTCAACAGGTTCAACCACCATGGGCATTCGTCATTGAGAAACAACAAAAACGACATAGTATTCTCGTTCCTATATTTCTGATGTGTATCAATTGTTTTATAATAATTGAATTCGGAAAAACGTTACTTATTCGTTACTGAGGAGTGTGGTGCAAGTGTTTCGGTGAAAATGGCGCCACTGTCGTTGGATGCGAGATGTAAACAGAGATAGTCATTTGTCATCTAAATGAAAAGGCGTATTGGACTAACAAGGACATTCAATCAAGACACTATTTTTCACAACAATTTATTAAAATAACTATATCATATAAATATAATAAAATAAACAACTGAATTAATGAAACTATAATACAAGAATATTCATTATTGATTTGATGGTTTCAGAAGAAAAAGTTAATTCTTACTCCCCAAGCACCATTATCTAGCGCTATCACACAACCTCAATTTGTTATGCAAGCACACTTTCCCCTAGCAGAACCTTCCTGCAATACCTTCTCCTCTCAATTTCCCTAGGCATAATAAACCCGACGAGTACCCTCACGTGGCCTCGTGCAACGACAAAGCTAAAGGGTCCTCGTCTTCGTCCTTCGTTTCCTCGCTGTTCACAAAATTCCGCTCGGCCGGCCTGTCGCCTCGCGCGTGTGCCGCGCCGTGCATCGACACGTGATTGGTCAGCGACTGCTTGCGGTTAAACTGCTTGCCGCAGTGCTGGCACTGGAAGGGCTTCTCGCCCGAGTGGATCAACAGGTGGTCGCGCAGCGTGGTGCTGCGCACGAACTGTTTGCCGCACTGTTCGCACCTGATGGGATAGGAAATTGCTTCGTTATTATGCAGTCCTCAGTAAATTCATTTTTGGACCTTAGAGTCTATTTAGTCAACTCTTCTGTCTTCGTCTTAGTCTCAGTCCTTGTTCTAATTTTAGTCCTTCAACCAAGTTGATTCTACACATTCGCATGAGAGCATTTTTACAACAGTATTTGTCACAATCTCAAGTCTTAGTCCTATAAACGTGACCTTGAGAGTTCCCAATTTTCAACTTTAATGCTTAGGACTAAGACCATGACGTCAGTGCGCATATGCTCAGTGCGTGCATGGCATTGTTGACAAACGACAACTCCCTTTCATTATCATATATTGTGATCTGTGTTCAGAAATCATATAGGTTATGTTCAGACTTCAAGTTCAAGCTTCAATAATTAATACAAAAATGAAAGTAATTATATATCTGATATTGCTGTTACTGTCATTTGTCGACGTCCTAATATCATGAGTTGCATAAATAGTCATGTCCTTATTCTTAAAGATAAAGACTGGGACTAGAACTGAGACTTGAGACGAAGACAAAATTGACTGAATAGACACTTTGATATCAAATAATGAGGCCATACTTGATGATTATAATTATGACCAGAATATACCAGTTATGGAATTGTGATTATTCATGTACTATAAGACATTATGAGAATAAATAAGTACCGTTCATCAAGAAAGGTATGTATGAGAATCGGTCGTAAGCTATTTTTTATATTGAAAATTCAAGATGGCAGATCCAACATGGCGGACGAGTTTTGTAATCAAATTTTATTCAAAATTGATATCTAGTGGTTTTCGGGATCGGAGATAATGATTTCTTCAACAAAATTTAGACATTCTAGACGGCGGATCGAATATGACGGACGATTTTTGTAATCATGGTCCGGTTCTATTTATAAATTGGTATCCGGGATTTTCGGGATCGGAGGTTATGATTCCTTTGTCAAAATTAGGAAATTTGAAATGGCGGATCCAATATGGCGCACCCAATATGGCGGACGAATTTTTTTTATTCTGTTCAAAATTTGTATTAAGGGGTTTTCGGAGTAGGATATTATGATTCTTTCGCAAAAATTTGGATATTCGAGAAGGCGGATCCAATATGGCGGACGAAATATGTAATTATGATGCGATTCCATTCAAAATTTGTATCTGGGGGTTTTTGGATATGTATTAGATGTATATATAGCAAAACGTTTCCCGGGTCAGCTAGTTTGTTTATATAAACTGTACAATGATGATTTCTTGAATTGTTTTTGTTTCTTCAGAACTAAAAGTATTAAAGAAATTGGCACCTGTAAGGTTTGACGCCTGTGTGCATAAGTTTGTGACGCTCTAGGTGGTAGCTGGAAAGGAATGCTTTGGCACAGAAAGAGCATGTATGTGGTTTTTCACCAGAGTGGCGACGCATGTGGTAACCCAAATGGCTTGATTGAGTGAACTGCTTCTGGCAAACCTGCAAAAAGTCAATTTCCCCAAATGTTTTCTAACAATCATTTTCCTACCATGCATAAAAAATTAAAAACATGAATACTCTGGTTGAAAGGATATGTGGGAAATCTCATATTTACTTAACCTACTTCAATATTCTTTGTACTTAATAATAGGTAGGTAGCTTTTCCAACCCTAATAAAAATTTGTTAGGTACAAACAAGAATTTCTCTCAGTTTTATTAGGTTCTATTGAAAATAATATACCTTGCACTTATGCTCTTTTATACCCAAATGAGTCAACATGTGGGTTTTTAATATGTCTTTGGTGATGAAAGCTTTGCCACACTCCCTACACTGAAATGGTTTCAAGCCTGAATGTGTCAACATATGACGTTCCAGTCCATTTTTCCTTGTATAGTTCTTTCCACAATGATTGCAAAGGAATTGCCTTATTCCTTTCAATTTTTTGCCATTCACATATTCTGGCTCTCCATCACCTAATACTTTCTTTTTTCTTCTTCCTTTGCTCTTTTCTAGGTAATTTATGTATGCTTGAGCAACTCCAAAATCGTCTGGTCGGCAAATAATTATTTCATTATGGTGTTCCAATAGGGATTCTTTTGAAGAAAAAGATTCACCACAGTTTTGACAACAATTTGAGACATCTGTGCTCAAGTCTATCTCTATGTCAGGTTCTGTTATGATTTCTTCCTTCAGATCTTGCTTGAAATAGTAGTCTTTGTCACATTCACTTTTTACATCATCAAAGTACTCATCATTATCGAAATTCTCATCATCATTGTCACAGTATTCATTCTCTTGTAGCAGTTGTTCTTTCACAACAATCATTCTCAACAACTCATCATTACTTTTACATGTTTCTATGAATGTGGAAATTGTTTCTAATAGGTTGAGGCAGACATTACACATATTTTGTGGTAGTTTATCGTCTCTTGTGAACTGAAAAAGAAAATAGGGATTATATAACTGCATTGAAGTCTTCTATAATTAATTATTATTGTTTGTGTATGGGCACCTCAATGTTGATCAAGTTGTGGAATGAGTTCACTATGTCAGATTCCGAAATTGGTTGCAATTCACCGAAACCTAAGCATAATCGACAAATACTGGAAAAATCCCTGGAAGCAATATTTGTGTTCATTTTAGATTCCAACGAAAATTCAGGAAAGTATTGTTTGTTTACTATTTATTTATTTATTTTCTGTCATTGTCATCACAATCACTCATGATTGTCATGCTTCATTTAAATGTCAAGTTACAAATTAGCTAGCTGTGTGAAAAGGCACCCAAAATCTCCGAACATTGCCGAAGACCCAGTGGCGGCCAACACGTTCTTTGGGTGTAAATGAAAAACTGCTGCAATGAAAGGGTAGAAATCACTCAAACAGACCTAAGGAATGATTTTCCCATCGAAAAAAATCCACGACACCAATAAAAATATATCATATTCAACCCTACACAAAAAATATTTTAAGGCTGTAAATGAAAATCTGCTGCTAATACATAGGGTAGAAATCATTCGGACAAATCGTTCCTTAGGTCTGTTTGTATGATTTCTACCCCATGTCATCGCAGCAGTCTTTCAATTACTTTTTTTTATTTGTTGGGTTAAATTTGGTACAGGTATTTTTTCCGGTAGGGGTTGCGTGGATTGTTTCTATGGTCAAATAGTCAATTAATTCATTGAGTAAGTTGAAATGATTTTCACTCTATCGCAGCGCAGCAGTTCTTTTTAATATAACGCTCAATATATTTTTTTATTTTTGTATTTGGAGGCTTAAAAAAAAACATGTTGTCCGCCACTGGGTCTTCGGCAATGGTCGGATATTTTGGCTGCTATCTTTGGCTGTTATTTCACACGCCTTGATAACTTGCAATATTTGTTCTGTGACACAATCTGACTTTGAATTGACAACTGACAATACTGACATCGTGACATCAGTTCTGTTTATTTTGTTTATTAATTATTTGAAATATTTGAAGTGATATGGGAAGCTATAATAAAGATGTATATTTTGATGATTTTGGTCAAATTTGCAGAATCTGTTTGCTTTCTGATACTTCACTACAATTAATTCCTCAAAAACTATGGGATATATTTAAAAACATCACAGATATTGAGGTAAAAATGATTTTGTAGTGCTGTAGGTATCTGTGCTTTAATATTTTAGGTCTTTCATGTATATTTTACAGTCCAGAAAGGATGACGAATTGCCTCAAAATGTTTGCCAGAAATGTGTCAAACAATTGGAAGAAATTGGAGCCTTTATAGAGAAATGCAAAGATCATCATTCCTTACTACTATTGGCTTTACAAAGAAAATCGGAGGTATTCATCCTCGCTGATATTCCAGATGATTCCTGTGTTTCTGAAAATGAGTTTGATTTCTCCATTCAATCAATCAAAACAGAAGACAATAGTACAGATATAACAAATGCAACAGATCCCATTCAGGATAGTACAAAATTAACATGTGCTGAATGTGGGAGTAAGTTCTCCCACAAAAAATATTTATTGAGGCATATCACCTGGCACTGTAAGGCATTGAAGTATTCTTGTGGTTTGTGTAGTTTAAAATGCAAATCAGAAAAGGCTTTACAAAGACATAGTGCTATACATGGTGTCTCCAAGATATTCACTTGCTATATTTGTAGTGAAGGTACATTGGAGCTTATTCATCTCACCTTGTTATCATGCAACACTTTCTTTCAGAATTTGCTACTGGAATTCTGAGGTATGAGCATCAAAGAACCAAACACAATGTTAACTCCAAGAATTGTGGATCAAAATTTTCTTGCAGCAAATGTGATAGAGTACTAACATCTGTAGGATCTCTCAAAAATCACATGAGGACACATACTGGAGAAAAACCATTCACATGTAAGCATTGTGATAAGACATTCGCTTACCCCAACAGTCTCAATATACATATAAGGTCTCATACAGGTGAGGAATTATTCAACTTTGGCAATTTCTAGTTGATGGTTTTGTTTGTAGGAGAAAGGCCTTTCATTTGTAATATCTGTAAAAAAGGCTACAAGAGTTCTACCAGCCTCAAAAAGCACAAGGAGAAGGCACATTATGAGATTAATTTTGACACAGACAGCTGTAATGAAAATGAAGATGAAAAACCAAAAGAAAGAAATAAGGGTGAGAAAGTGGAGTGTAAAGTTTGTCACAAGATGCTTTACAAGCATGGCTTTGGTACTCATATGAGGGCACATTCAATGGCAAAGAAGGAATTCATCTGTGGAGTCTGTAAAAAGCAGTTTCAGAAAAATTCTCATCTAGAGAGACATATGAGGATACATACAGGTTAGTTTTCTCTTAGTCTCTTTCGAAAAATTTGAATTCAATAGTGAATATCCAATAATTAATTGGTATTGGAATTTTTAACTTGAAGAACCCAAAATTATTCATATGAACAGTTGAAATGAAACTTGAATGAACCTCAAATAAAATTGGTCTTGTTGTACATGGTGATTTGAATAAGAATAAAAACGGCACTAAATACTGTATTTTTATCAGATCAAGATGAAAATAATCTAGACCACTTTTTGGGCAGGACCTTTTTTTCTCAAGATATTTCTAATAATTGATAAAGCATTTGATTGTTCTCAACAATGGACATTGAAATGCATGAATCAACAAATCCAGTATCCAATAAACAGTAGGTTAAACATCAATTAATCAATTTATGAAGATAGTTAAATTGATTCAATATATTTCTTCAGTTCATTCTTGAGTTTTGCTAGGAATTTTGTGATGAGTGATAGATTTCATTCTGTTGGGAAAACTGATATATTTATATTTACCACAAAAATTGCATTTTATTTTGATAGCTTTCCAATGAACACTGTCTGGAGTTATGCACATGGGTATCAGCTAACATTTTCAGGCTCACCAGTTTTGGTGCTAATAATCAAACATGAGGTCAATGTCAAAGTACAGTATTCACAGTAATCAATGTCACCAGGTGGCGCTCGGATTTCATCGTTCCATGTCAAAGCCACGTCAAAACTGGGGGAAAACAAACTTAATCCCATTAGCTTGTGTACTGTGTACTGATAAGAGTGATAACACTTTATGTCATTGACAAGTTTGACAACTACAGCTACAGCAAGATGTATGCAATGTAGTCTATGCACTTTATCCATAGACAATAGTTTGTTTTCCCCCAGTTTGAAGTTCGTATTATGTAACCTAGATGTTGCCCACTTCGTGAATCTCACGAATATAATCCTTTCAAGATTCCCAAAATGTTGCTGGATAGCCCTAAAGGCTATGGCCTGTTTTATGGAGAATATTCGAAAAACATTTGTTGAATATTTGAACATATTGAAAACCTCAAGTTATGGAAAGACTTAAACAGACCTACGTTTTTTACTCCTCAATGTGGACCTTTATGATCATGACCAATTCTTACATTGACGGAGAAGATGAAGCCAAATGACAAGAAAAGAAGAAGTATATATTTTTTTATCAGTTCTACCAACTTTGGAACCTCACGTTTCAATGGCGGGATGGGTGGACTAGGGTCCCTTGATGTAAATTGACATTTGTCATCTTAACAGGGTACGGACAGATCCTCGTCTCCTCTCACTCTAAAGTGTTTGTGAAACAGTTATATAGTTTCATCTTCATTCATTTCTGAGGATGAACACTAGATTCCTGACATTTGTTGTTTTTTAGGTTATATTGAGGACATTGGCGTATCATACGTAATTTCCACATGTAATTTTTCATTCAACTCTGCATATTACATCCAAATGGCGATGATAATTTTCGAGTTTTCGATTTCTCAACTCCAGCATGATCTTTGTGAGGCAGTGAGCAAATGTTTCTGAAAGTTCAATATGTTTTACCAAATGGGACTGTTCTTAGGCAGTACCTATCAATAAATGAATTTTGATTTCAGACTGAGCCTTATGATTGAGAGATGTTGAAAATGTTATGTAGGTATTCAAACTAATGTGCTCATATGTCATGTGTGCTATATATATTCATGTTGGGAATCATTTTTGCAGTTTTTCACGAACACTTAATATTTTCTGAATGTAGGTATACTTTTTCAAATGGTAGCGCATATTATGCGTCTTCTTTTAATCCCCCTTTTTAATCAAAATTGTTTCTACTTAAATGCAATCAAAAACGTATGCAGTGGATAATTATAGGCACAATAAGAAAGTGTAATTGTTTTCCCCATTCGGTCACTTCATTTTCCATGTTCTAAGTTCATTTGCATTTGATGGAAAGCTGACAAATTCAAATTTGCCATCCAACTGATTGATACATAACTGAATTGAATAATGTCGTATTAAGATCAAGTATGAAATTGAATTTTTGTAAGATCTCTTTCAACGCCTTTTAATGTGACGTGACAGCAATATCATGTCAGGGACGCCAATACACGAAACCAAAGTCACTAGATGATTAAAAGAGAAAGGAGCTATGGTATGTCTGTACCCTGTTAGATGACAAATACGTCAGTTTGCATCAAGGAACCCAACTTTTCTTCTTCTCGTCCTAAATGATCCTTTTTCTGAAGAGTTTATTCTACCACTGAGCTATATTGAGCTATTGGAAGGTTCTAACTATGAAGAAAGAAGAAATATCATGTGATGGATTGTTTATCAGAACGAACAGCACAGCAGCATGCTACTAATTGAATTACTCGCGAGAGACATTTATGGGCAATAGGCAGTTTTTTTCTCGAAGGAGAGCGCCCCTACACCTGCCCCCACTGCGGCAAATCCTTCATGCAGGACAACGACCTGAAAAGGCACGTGTCCCGCCACACGGACGACAAGAAATTCCAGTGCCAGCACTGCGGCAAGCGCTACTACTCCAAGTCCGCCCTGGGCGTGCACGTGGCCGCCCACGCGCTGGTGCAGAAGCCGCCCAAGCCGCCCTGCGAGGCATGCGCGCCCCACGCGACCGCTTGCAGGCACAGAGCGGTCAAGGCGGCGAAGACGCATCTGTGCACGGTGTGCGGCAAGGCGTTCACGTCGAGGAGTTCGTTGGTGGTGCACACGAGGTTGCATACGGGGGATGCGCCGTTCGCGTGTCCGTCTTGTGATAAGGTAACGTCGATGATGATTGATTGTTATTCCAGATTTTTTAGGATCTTCTCTCCTCGTTTCTATAAAATCTGACGATTGTATTGAAAAAAGTTTGGAGAAGAGAAATAAAGGTATATAGAAAAAATATAAAATTTTCACGCGTCGGGAGACAACACAACCTGGAGCTAAAATCTACTACTTTTCTCCCTTGTATAATAAATAACTATTTTGTATCGCAAATTCCTATTTTTTGTCCTGACACTTTTCAGATCTCAGTGACAATTAGTGACGTTGGCAATCAAATGAGTTACAGGATGTTTTCATTAATCAATCTTGAATTTACCATTTTCATTTTCAGATTTCAATAGGTCGCGTGCACGATGACCGACCCTGGAGGCAAAATATTGAAACACAACCTCACTCTTCTGTGACTTATTGAAACACAACCTCACTCTTCTGTGACTTATTGAAACACAACCTCACTTTTATCTTGTTTACAAAGGAATCAAAGGTTTGAAATAGTTTTTCACAATATTTTGGCATACGAATCGTGTTTTTTTGGGCTATTCATTAATTCAAGCATGCCTTCGCATTGTGCTGTTGTACAATGCAGCGAGAGACGAAGGAATATGATTTTTCAGGTAAATAGTAATCTCACATAGTTATCATCATGAGATGTCATTCCTTATAAAAATTGCTTCTGCCTTCTGTCACTTCTGCAATACAAGCTAATACTGCTAATATATTGAAAATGTCTACAAAACACACGATCATATTTCGTCAGCATGTCAGACCAGTCCTCCCGATTGATTGCATGAATCCAATCTTGCATTATTTTAGAAATTTCACGTGTTTTTCTATTAGCTCCAATCGCAGAAGGAATTCCGATGAGAAATTAGTGAAATTACCAAGTTCCAAAAATGAAAACTATATGTGAGTGACTATAGTAGGTACTTACTTTTAAATCATAATGTACCAACCGGATTCCTACGTCTTCCGCTGCAGTTTTTGTGCATTTTACAACAGCACAATGTGATGGCATGAGCAAAAAATACGATTCGTATGCCAATATAATTGTGAATAACTATTTCAATCACTTGTAAACAAATAAGAAAAGTGAGGTTGTGTTTCAATGTTGTGCCTCCAGGGTCATCTGACAGTTCTTGCACGCAACCCATAGTGAATACCATGTTCTATCTATATCAACTGAACAGGAAGCAATGCTATTGTCTCCGTTCAGAAGAATGCAAGCAGATTCCTTGATTCTTCTTTTCTGGTTGTTATCTTCTTTTCCAATAATTCTCCCGTATGCTCTAAGGATACAACACTTACTGTTGATACTTGATAGTCCAATCAATCAGCAAACAAAAGTTGTCTATTTTTTTTTTAGAAATACGTGACCTCGACAGCTTTGAAGAAGCATGTGATTAGGAACCACACCGGGGAAAGATTGCACGTTTGTATGATATGTCAAAAGAGCTATTACGACTCGTTCAGCTTGAAACGACATTTGGATAGGGTGCACGCCATACTGGATGCCAAAAGCGAGAAGGAGGAAGATGAATCGGTAAATTAAATGATAAAAAATAGAAGGTATCGATGGATTCCTTCATTTTCTTCCTACAACTGCTCGAAATGTTATTCTCGATAACTAGAGTTTTTATGGACAGGAAGATTATATCATGCGCGCCTCTAACGGCAGAATTTGAAAGGTGTCTGAGAACAAAACTTCAAGTTATTTTTGATGGCTTGATGGAGTTGATGAGACTTTGACGTGGGGGTGGTGAATTAGTTCAACTCCAGACTGTTGAATATCTCGAAAAATATGCATTCTGGAGAAAACCTGAGATCAAAGTTGTTTCATTTCAAATTAATAATTCAACCTTGGGGTTTTTCCAGGGTCAACTTTATTATTGTTCCGATTCCCAATTTTCTCATTCAACTTCCATTCTGAAATGTAACTATAACTTTTTTTGAAATTGATGTGAGTGAAAATTTGATTTTTTCAGCTCTTCAATACTATAGGTGGTGACAAATATAGATATTTTCAGATTTTTATATTAAGCTGCTTCAAATTCTGTCAAAAGTAGAGCCGCGCGTTTGAGAATTGTTAAGGCTTCTTGAGTAAAAAATTGGTTTATATCTAGTATTGATAGGTTTATTCAAATGGCCTAGAAATTTAGCCAATGGAAATGGATTCCAGTTAATATCAGTGTGATGACCAGTTGACACTCAAAAAGCCCTTTTCTCTCGCCAATTAAGAAAATAACTGAAAAGTATAGCTATAAGTATATTTAAAATATGCCATAGTAAATGTCATAAACTATATTGAAGATCATTCTGAAGTTTGTTCAGAGTTTGCCTCAATTACATTCTTCCTAGAACCCTTCCCACTCCTGTGATTTCGATCCACATGCCTCCTCCAATTACTAGCATCATGAAACCCTTTGCCACACATTGAACATACAAAAGGCCGCTCTCCTGTATGCTGTCTCAAATGCACTTTATGAGTGCTGCTGTACGCAAAAGTCTTTCCACAATAGGAACACACGAACGGCTTCTCTCCACTATGTATCTTCAAGTGCTCCTTCAGGTGGTTGGCCTGAACGAACTTTTTCTCGCACACGGTACATTCGTGTCTTTTGTCACCATTGTGAATGAGCAAGTGGTTGTTCAAGCCACTTTTTTTGTGGAAGAGCTTGTCACAGTGCTGGCAGCGATAAGGTCTTTGGTTAGTGTGTGTTCGAATGTGGACTTCAAGGTAAGTTTTCATAGTGAAGCGTCTCTGGCAGAAAAGACATTGGAAGTTTCGTTCCAGACTGTGCGTTTGTTTGTGGTTGTCCAAGCAGGATTTTTGGTGGAAGGCTTTGTCACATTGAAGGCACTGGAAGACTTTTTCGCGGGTGTGAGTGAGAAGGTGCCTTTTCAAGTCATTGCTCTGAGTGAAGCATTTCTTGCAGTTTGGGCACTGGTGAGGTTTGTCTCCCGTGTGGCTTTTCATGTGGCGTTCCAGATGTGAGTTTTTCATGAAATTTTTGCCGCAATAGTAGCAGAGGTATTTTTTGTGTTCATGGTTGATTTTGTGTATTCTCATGTGGTTGGTGAATGAGATCTTTTTGTTGAAAACTTTGTTGCAGATTGTGCATTGCAGGGATGTTTGGTTTTTGAGGTTTCTTTTGACTTTGGGTTTTTTATCCTCATCAGAAAATGGATGTGATTTCGAAATGCTGTTGCTATCCACATCTTCGTCAACGTCCGATTCATCCTTTGCCGATTGGCTTTCATTGAAAATTCGTTTCAAAATCGTTTCATTGCATCTACATTTCTCTACGAACGACAGTAAGCCTTCTAAGTATGAGACGCATTTTGTACAGATATTTTGGGGTAATTCTGTGATGGTTTCCTGAAATTATGCAGTTATATTGATGAGAATTTCGGAGAAGGTACTAGTTTTAACCTCAAAAGTCAGAAAAAGGTACATTTTTAGCAAGTCTGTAGAGAAAGGTTGAAGATTTTGTTTATCTAGGCAAATGCGACAAATTCTCGTGAAATCTCTATAAGAAATATTTAGTTCATTTTCCATCTCCACAAATTTATGAGATGGTAAGCTTGTTTTTGTTTATTTTTTATATTTGTGGTATTATTTTATATTTATAGACGGCAGATAGGTACACTATCTGTATGTGGCAGGCATCTTAGTGACAGATATAACTCCACCTCCCACTCCCCCTTATTTCCCCCGTGCAGTTTGTCACTAGGACTAGGTAGAGCAAGGTAGAGTATGTAGTATATCTTTGTTTTGCCATCGCGCTAGAAAGAGATAGGTTCATAAAATAGGCTGAGGAGAATGGTGGCATAGGAAGGATAAAAACTGAATTGACACTGGTTTCATTGATGGAAATTGCTATCAAATTTGCAAATGCACAAGCTAGGTGGAAATTACATTGTGAAACAAACAAGGGCTAACTTACAAAACTCTAAATCTATACAGTTTTCCACTGGACTGGAATTATACGTGTTTGATTTTTTTTATTATTCGCGATAGAAAATAACACGTCGCCCCACCTGACGGCAACAACTTGAACATTTCCGAGCGGTTTGTTTTGATGATATAACCAATAAGCACAAACAAAAAACAAATGTGAACCAATAAAAACAAAGTAAATAGGCATCTTTGACAGATTTCAAGAACTCAGTGTATTTCCATAGATTGACAATTCATCAAGAATACATGAATGCATAACACTTGAGTGGGAAAAACAGTAGGTATGTTTTTATTTGTCTAGTTTACAATGGAGACATTGGGCTGGGAAATTAATGACAGTGAATACATTATGAACTCTTGATCCTTGGTTTAGTCAACACTAGTCAATATATCTTCTTCATTTAAACTGATCTGCAAACTCCTGCACCATACTGGAGGCAATGTAGCAAATGTAAGATAACCTGTATGTCCAGGAGAGCTAGCAGGAGGGAGACCAGTCACTGTCTTCATCATTTCCCTTTCTTTTTTCTCTGGTTCACTACCATCCTTTTCAGCCTTAACAAAGTCCAGATTGATCACAGGTATAGACCTTTGTTGCACTGAATACTGAGTCTGTAACACTTCCAAAGTTTGTATATCCTGAAAACCAAGTTTGAGCAGCATCAAACAACTTTTTTGCACTTGTTCAATACATGGTGAAAAAGAACATAACCTTCCACCAGTGGTTTTAATAGAAGTTAAGGCATGGGGAATTGCCAGCCAGGGATGTGGTAGATCCAAAAATACTGCATCAGCTTTTCCAGTCATGTGTTCTCCAAAACCATCCTCACATACGTCTCTGTGACCAACTGTGACATAACTAGCTAGACCATGGTCCTTGAATTCTTCAGTAGCTGTTTTAGCTCTAACCTCATGGAAGTCAAATGTGTAAACATGGCCATGAGGCTTTACTGCTCTGATAAGAGCATGTGAGAGGCTTCCACTGCCGGTACCACTTTCTATTACCATACTTCCAGGACAAAGTTCCAACTGCAAGATGATCATACTTATGTCAGGGGTGTAAATTATCTGTGTTCGATGAGGTAATGTTATGGTCCATAACTCTGGAGTTGGTTGCAAAACGTAGCCCCATCCTTTGCTGAGAGATATTTTGGTGCCATAGCTTTTGCCGATGAGTTCTCCACATTTCAAAGCGCCGTAAGGAGTTTGGAATACGTTCTCCACTTCATTACCTTTTTTGTTGACTATTTTCGGTTGTGCTTTGATGGAATATACTTGGGTAATGGTGAGGTAGAGGATTACGGTATCGCCTTCATTGATTTCATCTTTGTAGCCATCAAAACTCATATTTTTCTTTAAAATCGAAATTTAAAATTTTATACCTAACCTCACTTTTTCGTCTACTGCATTGAGTTCATTGCATTCACTACGGTTCAGTGCCATTACTGCTGTTTGATTCAAAGGCCATAGTCCTTAGAGTCAGTTGCTGAAATCGTAAGCATAAGGTTTGTGTTCTCTGGTGACTAGAGGCCGATAAAAACAGAGAAGAAGAGCCAAATTTATGTTTTCTCTTTGTCTCTTTAAGCCCTTTCCTTGTCTGGCTGTTGCCGTCATAAATAATAAATGTCATGTCAAAATGTCATAACACTTTGAAAAAGTGCAGAAATTTTGAAATAAAAATTATTGCAAAAGCAAAAATGGAAGTGTTCAACAAGGTCCTCTCACAAGTTAGTAGCTCTGTAAGTAGCACAGTTTCACAGCTCTCTGGGGCTCTACCTGGGAATCCGGTAACTAGAGAATTCGAATCTTCTCTTCATGTAGCATCAGCAGGTCCAGGTAATGATTTTACCTTTCTTCTCATCCAAATTGCGAACATAGTTCATTATCATGTATTTCAGGTTTGCTATGGAAAGTGTACAAAGGCATGAAACGCTCTACAAAACAAGAAGCTTCAATATTTGTATTTGAAAAAAGGCAGCTAGAAAGGTACAACAAAAGCGACAGAGAGTATATTCTAGAAGTTCTACGTCGTGGTGTGGTACAGCTCACCAAAATCCGCCATCCTAAGATACTCACTGTCCAACATGCCCTAGAAGAAAGTAGAGATAGTCTAGCATTTGCTGCTGAGCCTATTTTTGCTAGCTTGGCTAATGTCTTGGGTCAAACAATGAATATGCCCCAACCTGCCAATATGTCAGAGTACAAGCTGTTTGATATTGAAATCAAGTATGGTTTGCTACAAATTGGTGAGGGTTTAGCCTTCCTGCACAATGATGTTAAATTGTTGCATAAAAATATAAGCCCAGAAAGTATCATTATAAATGCCCAAGGGGCTTGGAAGATATTTGGACTGGATTTCTGTGTGCACAACACCAGCCCAGGGAATGCACCCCCAAATTATCCTTTTGAAGAATACAGTCCTACTATTCCTCATGTTTGTCAGCCCAATTTGGACTATTTATCTCCTGAATGTATAACAATTTTGAAACATTCCACTGCTAGTGATATGTTCTCTTTGGGCATGCTGACTTATTCATTATACTCACCAGAAAAAAGTTGTCTCAGACCTGTGAGGGATTTGCAGCAGTTCAAAACAAGGGTGCAAGAACTGCAAAGGTTGAATTCTGGGAAATTCCATTGCATTCCAGAGGAACTGAGGGAGTTTGTAAAGCTACTCTTGAATGTTACTCCAGAAGTAAGACCAGATGCACATCAGTTCTTAAAGATACCATTTTTTGATGATGTTGGCATCAAAACTCTGACATATTTAGATTCACTTCTGCAATGGGACAATTTGCAGAAGTCACAATTTTACAAGGGGCTGCCAGAAGCTTTGACAAAGCTGCCTCATAGAGTTAAAGTACAGAGAGTGCTGGCATGTCTCATACATGATTTGGGGCAACCAGCCATGGTGCCCTTCATTTTACCAAGTATTTTTGACATTGCACAGGAATGTACAAAGGAAGAGTTTTGCACCTATGTCTTGCCTCATATTAAGCCCCTTATGAGGCTCATGGAACCAATTCAGGTAAGATACATACTCAGGGTTATTTAGGCCTTGTTGAAAACTTTTCCTTTCTATAAGTAACATAATATGAGTCATTTTTACAGAGTGACATTAAAAAGAATATATATGATCTATTAAAAAAATATAGTGATCCAAATAAAATAGGTACTTCACTGTACAGGATGTTTGATTAAGATCGGCCATTGGCGATTACTTGTACAACTTAAAAATAAAAATTGAGATGGAAAAATACATAACTATGGAAATACCTCAGTCATAGGATGATTTTAGTCTCACCTGGAAATAATGCTGTTGGATAACCAAGACACAGCCTATGGATAATCCGAATCAAACACCATGTATATGAAAAAAGTAGTTCCAAGTACCTACTTATTATTACATTTAGTCATATTTTTTTATGTAGAATCTCTGGAAATCATCATAAGACATTTTGTATATGATGAATGGAACAACTTGGAAATAACTTTATTTTTTTCTGTGACGGGAAAAAAGTTTGGCATTTCATCTCTGTTGGCAGGTTATAAAAATGTCACTTTTCATAAATTACTTTTCTCCCGGATATATATCACATATATATACACTGTTGATGGCTTTTGTTGTGCTATAGTTCCGAAAAATGAGTCAATAATACCGTCTCCCAAAAAGAACTGCAAGTCCTTTTATCTTCCATTTGAGTTTGCGGTTATTGGCAATTTTTTGTACTTAATCAAATCACGGAATCAGACTGACAGAAGTGACATCAGATATTTGATTACTACAAAAGAATGATAAAGATGCCTACAACGCAGGTGTCCCTACTGTTAAAAACTTGAAATTTCACGTCGATAATTTTCAGATTTCAAAATAATGTAATATCTTCTCAATATTGATTCATCCTTTCTTCTGTCGCAGAAAAAAATAGTGTTTTACACGGGAAAAATATGAGATTTTAGCTCACGGTATTTTGTGTCCGAACGCGTAGCTTAATTGCTGACAAATTAGATCAAGACGTCATTATTATTATGCTAAGAGGAAACTCAATGTTTGTCCAAATTTCGTACATAATGATGATTCCATTCATTGGCGCACTACAGGGCGAGAATATTTATTTAACCTTTTATCAAAAAGATCCCGCATCTCTGGAAGTTTCCGCGAATCAGTAAAACCAATAAATTCCAGATCCTCCTCATCATGCTACAAAGAATGGAACTCCTCCTGAACCTCACCCCTGCCGCGGACATCCAACAACACGTCCTCCCAATGCTCTACAGGGGCCTCGACTCCGACACCCCCCAAATCCACGAACTCTGCCTCTCCGTCTTGCCCACTTTCGCGGGACTGCTGGACCACTCCAACGTCAAAAACAGCCTCCTGCCCCGCATCAAAAAACTCTGCCTCAACACCTCCACCCTCTCCGTGAGGGTGAATTGCCTCCTCTGTGTCGGGCGCCTCTTAGAACACCTCGACAAGTGGCTGGTACTAGACGAAGTACTACCATTTTTGCCTCAGATCCCTTCCAGAGAGCCAGCGGTGTTGATGGGCATCCTGGGCATCTACAAGCTGTCTTTGAATCATAAGAAACTCGGGATCACCAAGGAGATCATAGCGTCGCGAGTACTGCCTTTCTTGATCCCTCTGTGCATCGAGAACGGTCTCACTATATCCCAGTTCAACGCGTTGACTTCGCTGGTGAAGGAGATGTTCGCTATCGTGGAAACGGAACACAGAACGAAGCTGGAACAGCTCAATTCCGTGAAGGACGAGCAAAAAGTCTTGTCGAATACCGCTCCGGTTATCGCCCCCAAAATTAAACCTCAGGAATTGGACAGCGCGTTTTCCGGCCTAGGTCTGGACAGTTTTGTGCCTGGTATGCAGAAAAAGGCGCCCGAGCAGGGACCGATCGCCGATCAACAGGTTAGGGAACCTGTCAACGCAACAGGTGCTGGCTTATTGGACGACTGGATGACGCCTCAAAAAACCGAGAGCAGTATCAACAAGCAGTTGCAGTGGACAAATACCCCTACTGGTCCTGTCCAAAACACTTGGAGTTCCTCGAAAAACTTCGGTGCTTTTCAAGCCCAACCTAGCATGACAACCTCCAGCAGCTTTGGGAGTTTCCACCACAACTCCACTCCCAATCCTTGGACTAGTAGTAACAACAGAACTTTTAATTCCAGTAGGAGTGACAGCTGTCAGAACTGGGGTGCTTTGGATAATCTTTTGCCTAGTAATAGTAGTAATGTGAAAGTTCCAATGAACAAAATGGGGGCTCAGAGTGTGCCTTTGATTCCTAGTGGTGAAAGTAGCAAGAACAGCTCTGGCTTGTCAAATGATGATATCATGGATTTGCTGAGTTGAATGGGAAGTTGTATTTAGGACTCCACTTTTGGATTTCAATGAAGATGGCTACCATTATGAATTTCAAGGGGGTAATTGAATTTTGATGAAATTCCGTTTTCAGTTCAATGTTATACAGGGCGTGTCACTTAAAAAATGCATTCTTTAAAGCATCCACCAAAGAAATTATGGATTCAATTACAACAAAGAAACTGGTATTTTTGGGGAAAATCTGTTCTAAATGGCTGTAAATTTTCTGAAATCTGATGCTGGAAAATATTGATAAAAAAGTAACTTGTTTGAAATCCCATAAACTAGATTCATATTTTGTCTTTAAATTCAAAAGTGGTGCTTTCAAGGCTAAATACTCTCTACTTGCTTGGAGATTGAAAAATGAGCACACAATTTGTTAATTTTGTCAATGTGGTGGACAAGAAAACTGGAAAGAAAATAGGAAAATGCTTAAGAAAAATCCAAATTTCTATCCTGTGTGAATTAATCATTCCATTAACATTTAATTTATTGTTAAGGCTTTTTGCAATTGATTTTGCAGGTGCTACTTAATTATTTATTGTTTTTAATTAACTAATTTATGAATTATTTTCTATTTTGAAATGTGATATATCATTAAACAAAATCTTTTTTTAAATAGATAATGTGACAGATTATTTTGTTTATCAATAAACAAAACCTCAGTTCTTGGAATAGGAGAAAGTTGGTCTAGTAAATGGATCATCATTAATTTTTCAATAACTATATGAAATGGTTCAGATAAGAAACATGATAATCTTTATCACCATTTTTATAATGAAACATGATGATTAATGTTGGTTTCAATCTATGAACAAATTGATGATTATTACAAATTACTCACTCTTGATAATGCTGATTAATACAATTTCCCTTACACATTTTTGAATTGGAATAAGTAATATGATGCAATGTTTCATCATCTGGAGTAAGTAAAAGATTACTAAGAATGAATAAATATATATATATTTACAATTATTTTCCCAGTCGTTGTTCACATTTACTATATCTGACTAGAACTTCAAGAAATTTGGGGAATGTGATGCCCTGAATGCTACCTAGTTTGAAAAACTCAGTAATTCTCATTTGCCAGGGAGGATAATCATAAAGTCTTATAGTTTGGCCACACACTAGGCCTACATCTGGATCTGGAAATTCATACTGTGCTAAAAGCATTTCACTGAAATTTTCTATGCTAAAATCTTTGTTTTTGAAAACTGCAAGTTTTTTGGTTAGATTCACAATACTGTTTTTGCCGTCTTCCTTGGTGATTATTTTGACGTGTATACTCCTTCCCAAATAACCATTTTTGTGCACTATTTTTGGGTTGCTGTGCCATGTTATGTGATCAGTTTCATTCTTCTGTAGACCCACTTCATATTGCAACTGTTCCTCATGTTTTTTCAAGTTCCCTAAAATTATAATTTCAATTGAGAAAATTGTTAGCTTATCGACGAATTTGCATACTAACCTTTGTAGTCATAGAAACTGATAAAGGATATTTGAGTGGCAAGACACCAAAGAATTAGGTTAGTTAGCTCTTTGAATGGGGGCTCTTCTGCACCAAAAATTACAGTCAAATGAGTGGGTTTTTTAGTTATTTTCTGTAGCTCCTCTCGAAAATATTTACTTTTGTCAGTAGTGGGAAGAAACTCGTGACAAAAATTGAAACATATCACTAGGGCACCATAAAGCCACTCAAAAATCGTGTATATAACATGAATGAGCACATATAAAAACGTATGAATATTCGCACTCTTCATTTTATTCAATATCTATATTAGTTAACAATACGTTCGCATAACCACTAATATTCATAAATATTCAAAATTCGGCAGGTGGTTTCTTTACATCGAGACATCTTCAACACCGCCATCACAAATTCTCCCACTACGACGAGCTGTCATATTGCTGTCAATTAGTGTCAATTTCAATTATAGGCCTGTTCGTTTGTGCTTGCTCAACCTGCTAAACTTGATTTTTTTTCTATGACTTTCTTTGTTTACATGACATGAACAGAGACAACTATGGGAAAAAGATCCAGTTTAGCAATACAAACGAACAGGCCTCATTATACAGTTTTTCACTTCTCGCACTACCTTGAATTTTCTCCTCATTGAATATTGTTCAACTTTATTTATCATGTGTAATTTTTGAAGGATAGATATACAATTTGTGCATATTTTTTTAGTCCAGTCGTGCCCAGTAGAAAAAGGTATAGAGTCTGTTGTCTCTGTTCATGGCATGATGTAAACAAAGAAAGTCGTAGAAAAAATCAAGTTCAGCAGGTAGAGCAAGGACAAACGAACAGACCTCAAGGGAGAAAGATTATACGATCAAACGAACTTACCTGTGAAGTTCGATCGTAATTATATGAAGCGCCTCGTCCGAAGAGATCACCTTGATTACACTTGTAGTACCCTTATTCTGAGCTTGATGACCACAACGTTTAAAGACTTAAGTCTCAAAAAAATAAAAACCTCCCATCTCTAATTCCTCGATGACGTCCCATCTCTAATATCTCCGATGCTCTATGTATTGTGTTCCATGATTCCTTCATAATTTTAAAGATTCATAAAATTGTTACATGATTTTAGGGGTTTGGGTGGCGCGGGAGGTGATCTCTTCGGACGAGGCGCTTCATATAATTACGATCGAACTTCACAGGTAAGTTCGTTTGATCGTATAATTATATTTCAGCGCCTCGTCCTCGAGATCACCTTGATTACACTTGTAGATGTTTAAAGAGCTTGTAACAATTTTTGAAATAATCTGTTTTTGGTAACACAGTTACTGCTCCTTGATGTGAAACTATGAAATGACATAGGAATTAATAAATTCAATGCAGGAAGTCATTGTAATTTATTTGAACAAAAGTAGCGTTTTCTTAGTCAATATAAAGTCATAGTCTACATGTTTAATATAGATTTTGCAAGATCTAGATTTCTAGACAGCGGTCTATTGTAAAATCTAGCAAAAGTTAGCGAATTCTCACTCCAACCAGCAGTCTTTCTGATTGTTTCCAGAAGAACTCCATTCCTAAAAGCAGCTGAGGTAGTAGCATGCCGAGTGGAATAGGCTGAGAAAACCGACATGTCCACTCCAGCTTCCGCCAGTGTCTGCCGTATCCACCTACTTATGCTCTGTGTGGAGACAGTCTCATGAGGCTTTTTCGTGGTCAAAAATAAAAAATCTTGTACAGGTTTCCTCAAAGCTGCTGTCCGTTCGATGTAATGCAAGAGTGCGGAAGCGGCGCATAGTTTGGGATTATCCGGAAAATAGGGTAGATGTAAACAAGGTTGCATCCCCCTTGCTGAAGTGGTTTTAATATTGTCTGATATTAAAATCTGAATTTCTGTTATGGATACTATTACATTAGATACCTTAGTCAGAGCTAATGTCTGCATCCTATGAGCCGTGACTAGTGCCAACAAGGTAGCAACCTTTCTGGTTAGTTTATCCAATGGAAGTAATTCATTTGAAGGCCAAGATTCTAGGTGTGCTAAAACAAGTTGAGGATCCCATGTATAATTATATCGTCTCCTAGGGGGCCTGAGTCTGTGAATGCCCTTAACAAATCTGCGGATTTGTGGATCTTTTCCTATTTCTCCAGGCAATATCAAAGAAAGAGCTGATCTATAAGTATTGAATGTCCCATAAGAAAAACCATTTTTGTCTAGCTGTTCTTGCAGGAAAGTGACAACTTCTGTTACTCCTCCCTCCAAAAAATGTATATTTCTTGTCTGGCAAAAAACTCTCCATGCCTTGAATGTGGTGTTGTACTGTTTTAGGGTGGCCTTTGACAAGGATTCAATGATCGTAGGGATCCCACACTCCGGAATTTTTTTCCTTAAAAAAGCTTGCCTGATAACTTCCCGACAATCAAGGATGTTGCTGGTGGTTGGTGTTTCCTGGAAATAGATAAGAGTAGTTTCTCTTCATGGGGAAAATAAAGAGGTTCTTCTATCAGTAGTTTGTGGAAAATTGGGTACCAGGGCTGTGTATCCCAATCCGGAACAACTAGGATTCCAATTGCTTGGTCCTGAATTATCTTATTTAATGTACGTAATATTAATGAAAACGGAGGGAAGGCATAAAAATAATAATCATTCCAACTTATACTGAATGCATCAACTGAAATAGATTCAGGGTCGGGTAACCATGAAACATAAGTGTTACATTTTGCATTCAGATTTGATGCGAACAAGTCAATATTAGGGCTGCCAAACCTATCTTTGATTCTCAAGAATATTTTCTCATTCAGCTCCCACTCAGTCTCAGCAGGCAAGACCCTTGATTCCTGATCAGCTATAAAATTATCTTTGGTATTTATGTATGTGGCGAAAATCCAAATATTCCTTTGTTCGCACCATTGCCAAATGTCCTTAGCGAGTTTGCTTAATTTTGGATACTTGATGCTTCCCATCCTGTTGACATATGAAAGTGCAGTGGTATTATCAACTCTCAAAAGTACACTACATGAATGTAATTGTCTAGCAAAACATTTCAGGCCATAAAAAATACTTAAAAGTTCTAAGTAATTTATATGTTCATCTTGTTCTTCTAGTGACCACCAACCATGAGTTCTTTCACCTGTACAGTAGGCACCCCAGCCAGTAAGGGATGAATCAGTAAAAATTTCTAAGTAGAATGAATCTTGTCTTATGTCATTAAAACCTGACATAATATTGTTGGCCCACCAAGACAAATCATCATTTAGTGAATCTGAAATTTGCATAAATGACTCATAGTCTTGATTATTTCTACGAAGTGCAAGAAATTTTTCTCTCTCAAACTGTTTTGTATAAAGAAAGCCATACTTAATGGCTGGGCAGGCTGAAATTAATAACCCAACAAAGTGTGCAAAAAATCTTATTTTACAAACTTTTTTCTCTTTGATTATTTTTATTGTGTTCAGGATCTTGCATCTTTTTTCTATTGGCAAACATATTGTCATGTTTTCACTATCTAATGTGAATCCAAGAAAACTGCAATTTTTGGATGGTGAAAGAATACTCTTTTCATAGTTTACTGTAAAACCTAGACTTTCTAAGGTTGAAACTACTGTATCGACATTTTTCTCACATTCTTCTTTTGTTTTGCCAAATATCAAGAAATCATCCAAGTATATAACACATGAGATGGCATTCCTTCGAAAAAATGCAATAACTGGTTTAGTGAGTTTGGTAAAAACATAAGGCGCCAATGAAAGGCCAAAGGGAAGACATGTAAATTGATATAAAATGCCCTTAAATGAGAACCTCAAAAAATGTCTGTATTTTTTGTGAATTGGTAGGGCATAATAAGCATTTTTTAAATCAATAGTGGCCATGAAACAGCCCTTCTGAACTAATTTGATGGCAGTGCGGATGTCTTCTAATTTAAAATGTGGAGTATTAATAAAAGAATTCAACTTCTTTAGATTCAAAATGAATCTCTTACTTCCATCCTTTTTGTCAACCAAAAAATATGATGACAAGAAATGGTCTTTAGATTGGAGACAGGGTTCCACAACCCCCTGCTCTAAAAGAATACTCAAGGAACTTGAAATGTGGTTCATATCACTCATTGACAATTGCATCATATTTGGAGAATGAACTTGTGTGGGTTTACAAGAGAAAGGAATTTTGTATCCCTTGATCCAATTCAAAATCACCTTATTGTTAGTGATTTTCTTCCAACTATCCACAAAAAAACTCAAGTTTCTAGGTGAAGAACCTAGAGAACTTACCGACATTAATGGCGGCGTGGTCTGTAGTCTTTTCTCTGATTCTCTTTGTTCTGAGGGAAGTGCCCCTTGTACCTCTGATGTTCCCTCAGGTAACGAGGTGGGGCCTTTCGGTTTAAAGAAAGTTTTCCCTGTTGTATGAATGGTACCCTGGGTTTCTTTGACACTGGTTTAGAAACTGAGGGCATGTTTCTCATAAGTTCAGTGCTGGATTTCTCCACAGCTTTCTCATTTTTACATTGTTCAGCAAAATCCTTCCCAAACAGGAATTCATCAATATCATTCCCTTGAGCAATTTCACTGGCTGATCTGGATAGAAGTGGAATGATCTGTTTGCGCCTAGAAATAGACATACTATGGTGCAGGTCTGTTAATAGTTGACCAGCATCACATAAATGTGTAAGGAGTTCTTTGTCTCGATTTTTTGTAACCAATAGTATGTTGATAGCCTCCCCCAGAGCTACAATGCCTGTACCTAACTGGTTCTGTCCCAAAGTCTGAACTTTGTCCTTTGTAAGCTGGGATTGGGATAGTAATTTCTTGATTTCTGGATTGATCATAGGTGCACTCAATCTTGTACAATTTGAGGGGATTGGATATTTGGCTATCAGAGATGTCTTCATATCCTGATCTAATCCATTTTTCAAAATCTTTGTCCACCTAGGGGCCAATTCTGCATGACACTGGGTCTCTTTCTTATCATTCTCACTAGGGTCCCCCCCCAGACATCTCAGAGTTTCTTCATCTAATATATTTATATCTGTTGGGCAGGCAGAATTTGGATCAGGTATATTATCCAGAAGGCATCTGTCATTTACTATATGTGATGTCCTACTAGGGCTTCTGAGACCACTATGGGTGCTCTGACTTGGACTGGCACTAGGGCTTGAGCCTCGGCTTGTGGTTTGGTAGGAATCTATTGATCCTCTCAGGCTACAGTCTGGAGTAAAGCTTCTCGAGCTGTGGACAGGTGCCAAGTCTTTTGAATTATGAGTCGAGCCTCTCGGGCTTCGATCTTGTGTAGAGCCTTTTGGGCTTTGATCTCTTGTCGAGCCTCTCGGGCTACGAACATGTGCCAGGCCTTTTACGTTACGAATAGGTGCCGAGCCTCTCGGACTGCGATCTGGTGCCGAGCCTCTCGGGCTGCGATCTGGTGCCGAGCCTCTCGGGCTGCGATCACGCCTACTTCCTGAAGAAACCTTCCGGTCTAAATCGTCTTTAGATGTGGCTGTCGACCTTCTAGAGGTATGGACTACTGCTGATGGCCGGCTAGAACCGTGGGCTGCTGTTGAACTACGCGGGTAACCATCAGGAGCCGAGCCTCTCGGACTTCGATCCCCCCCGCTTGGTTTGCTAGCCACTCTCTCTAGTCTTTTTATACGGTCTACCAATTCCTGGACGAGCCGATCTGAAGACCTTCTACGCGACCTAGATCTAGAACGTTTTCTTCTTCTTGATTTGTGACCCATTATTCCTTGGATTTACAAAATAATCACAATTAAATGAAAGTTAACAAAAAACACGTGTTGTATCATCAAGCACAAAAAAGGTTATGAAGGAATCATGGAACACAATACATAGAGCATCGGAGATATTAGAGATGGGACGTCATCGAGGAATTAGAGATGGGAGGTTTTTATTTTTTTGAGACTTAAGTCTTTAAACGTTGTGGTCATCAAGCTCAGAATAAGGGTACTACAAGTGTAATCAAGGTGATCTCGAGGACGAGGCGCTGAATTGTGTTACAGCGCCTCGCCCTCTAGATCACTAGGTTTACTATGTAGTACCGCTCTTTGTCGCCAGTTGGAGCCACAAATTTTAAAGGATTGACGTGTCAATCAAGAAAGGAAAATGTTTTATGCCCGTGTTCCGTGTCGCATCTCTCGTGTTCTGTGCTTCTGTCGTTATTACGCTTTTTTGTGCGCTAAGTAATGGACGCTATTACTAGTTTTTTCCTGAAAAAACTGTGAAATATCTGTGTTAAATATGCCCAAATCATCGAAAAGAAGCCGCGAACGTTCTCCGCTCAACAGCAGAGAAGTAAAACGATCGCGCCGTGAATTATTACTCGACCTAGAACGAGAAATTGCCGATATGAAGAAGAAGATGGAACAGGAGAGTCGCCGCCATTTGCAACGCTCAAGTCCAAGTTATGATCATGTCGATCATGAAGATGAAAGGTACCGAAGTGACACAAACCATGAGAGACCCCCATCCAAAAGATATTCGGAAAAATCATATGGACAGTCTCGTACCAGTTCTCCAGGCGACTCTCGAGGTGACCGTAAAAAGAAGTCATATACTTCTCCAAGGTCAGGTGTCCACAGTGGGTCACGTGCCCAGGACATGTCCCCAAGGTCTGACGTCCCAAACGGGTTACGAGCCCAGGACTATGTTACGAAGGACCGAACACATTGTCAACAGATCTCCAATACAAAAAGGCTACATGCCCAGGAGTCTGATTCACCGTCCCAACACAGAAGACCAAGTGTTGATTCAGATTCACAGATACTAGATGTTTCAGATGAGGATAATGAACCCTTGTTGAACAATGAACATCTTGGATTGGGTTCTCCTCTCTCACAACCTGGCGATCAGGAAAGTCAGGTTGATGATGATGAAATTCTAGAATTGCTAGGAGAGAAAAAAGATACCCTAAAAACCTTTGAATTACATCCAATTATATGTAATAGGTGGAAAACTATAATTAGTAAGGGGTTAGGAAAAGATGAGAGATCAAAACTCATAGAAAAATATGGACCTCCCTCTAACTTACCAACACTCATAGCACCCAAAGTTAACGAAGAAATTGTAACTGCTATTCCAGAGATGATTATCAAAAAGGATAGTTTTCACATCAACAGACAAAACCAATTAGGACGAGGAATTGCTGCACTGGGTATGACCCTTAACTTGATATTGAAAACACAAAATCAAACTAATAATTCTGAATCTCAGAAACAGGCCATAAGAGAACTAAGTGAGGCAGGAAAAATCCTTGCTGATTTGCATTATAGAATGTCTCTTACGAGGAGAGCTATAATAATTCCACATCTAAATAAAACTGTTAAAGCACTCACTAGTGCATCAGCTGTTGGTGAACACCTATTTGACTCTGACCTGGGAGAAAAAATTAAAGCAGCCAGAGCAGTAGAAAAGTCCAGTAGAGATTTCAAGAAGCCATATACAGTAAATAATATGCCTACAAATGTAGGACCTAAAAGTAAAGTAATCACACATTCTTTAAACTTCCGAGGCCCGTCGAGGTTCAGGAGGGATCATCGACAGGAGGGCCAGAGACCTCTGCAGAGAAGGAGTCAACAGCAGAGCAGGTTTCGATCCTAAAGGTAGGAAAAATTGCAGGTGGACTCAGGAAACATTTTGGGATGTGGAAGGATATAGGTGCTACGAGCACAGTCCTGAATTATATTAAAGGTTATAAAATTCCCTTCTTGAAAAAACCTAAATCTACATGCTACATGCCAAAAGACAAGAAGAAAGACAAATCTTTAATTCTGGCAATAACTGATTTAGTTAGCTTAGGAGCAGTAAAAAAGTGTATTGGAATGAAAGATCAATTTTTGTCTCACTATTTCTTGGTAAATAAGCCAAATGGTAAAAAACGTTTCATTCTTAACCTCAAAAAATTGAATAAATTTATTAATCCCCCACATTTTAAAATGGAGGACACCAGAACTGTTATGAAACTTATTCAAAACGAATCATACATGGCAACTATAGATCTTAAGGATGCCTATTTTTCAATTCCAATTGATAGGGACTATAGAAAATATTTAAGATTCAAGTTTAACCATACCCTTTATGAATTCACAGCCTTACCATTTGGCCTCTCCTCAGCACCATATGTTTTTACTAAAGTGATGAGGCCAGTCTTAGCTAAACTTAGACAGAAAGACATTTCCTGTGTGTCATATTTGGATGATATTTGGATAACTTCAGAAACCTCAGAAAAATGCAAGGAAGCAGTTCACTGTACGGTTATGCTTTTGAGTTCTTTAGGCTTTACTATCAATGAAGACAAGAGTCAACTCAATCCAGCACAAAGATGTACATTTCTGGGTTTCATATTTGATTCAGTAGAAATGACTTTGGAACTTACACAAGAAAAAAGAACAAAAATTTATAACTCAATTCTTAGAATTCAGTCAAAGAAATATGTAAAAATTAGGGAATTTGCACAATTCATAGGATTAATTGTATCAGCTTGCCCTGCTGTACAATATGGTAAAGTTTATACAAAAACTTTAGAAAGAGAGAAGTATTTGGCCTTGAAACAATCTAACCAGAATTATAACTGTGCTATGAAAATAACCGAGTCTATCAAAGGTGACTTAGAATGGTGGAAAAAAATCAGTTTTGATTTCCAAAAATAAAATAATTAAAGACCATTTTGATATTGAAATATTTTCAGATGCTTCAAAAACAGGGTGGGGGGTATATTGTCAAGGACAAAACACCTATGGTTGGTGGAAATTATCTGAAATCACTCACCATATAAACTACTTAGAGCTAAAAGCTATATTTTATGCTTTGAAATGTTATGCCAAAGATCTGAGATCCTGCAATATACTGTTGAGAGTAGATAATACTACAGCTTTGAGTTACATTAATAAAATGGGTAGTGTTCAAAACGTAAAACTCAATAGCCTCTCCAAAAAGATTTGGCAGTGGTGTGAGGATCGAGATCTATGGCTCCATGCTTCATATGTTCAGTCAAAAGAAAACAAAGCTGATGAGAGTTCTAGAAAAATATCTACTGAGACTGAATGGGAACTATCAGAGGATGCCTATAGTAATATTATTGTTCATCTTGGTAAACCTGATATTGATTTATTTGCCTCAAAAGTCAATGCAAAATGCAAAAAATACTTATCATGGCATCCAGACCCTGATTCTTGGGCGGTTGACGCCTTCACTGTCTCCTGGAAAAAATTTAATTTTTATGCATTTCCACCCTTCTCCTTGGTTTTGCGTACACTCAACAAAATTATTTCAGACAAGGTTGACGGTATTGTGGTTGTACCTTACTGGCCTACACAACCATGGTACCCTTTATTTAAGAAACTTTTAATATCAGAATTGGTTTATTTGGGACCAAAAATTGACTTATTATCTTCTCCTTTCAGTTCATCACACCCAATGAGTCACTCCCTTATCCTGGTTGCCGGCAAATTGTCAGGGAGGCTTTCTTAAGCAAAGGATACCCAGAAGAAACAGTCGAAACATCATTAGAATCTCTATCAGCAGCTACCATGAAGCAGTACAACACGACCTTCAACTTATGGTGGCTATTTTGTTGCAGAAACAAAATTAGTCCTTATAATGCAGGAGTTTCAGATGTGTTGATTTTCTTACAAGAACAATTAGATTCAAAAAACTACTCCTATGGTATGTTTAACCAACACCGGTCTGCTCTTGCACTCATCTTACCTGGTGAAATTGGACAAAATATTCAGATAAGACGTTTCTTAAGAGGAGTACGAAGGTCACGTCCACCTAAACCCAAATACCACATCACTTGGGATCCTCAAATAGTTTTAAGGTATATAGATTCCATGGGTCCTAACCAAAGTTTGGACATATTGAATCTATCGAAAAAACTTGCTACTTTGATAGCACTGGCATCTGGTCAGAGAATTCAAACAATCCATTTAATGAACATTCAAAACATAATTTTTGATAGAGAGGGGTCTCATGTGTTTATTGATGACCCAATTAAGACAACACCAACCAGTGCATTTCAACCTTACATGGAATTTCCCTATTTCCACCAAACACCAAATTTGTGTGTAACATCTACACTACTTAATTACATAGAAAGAACTGCAAACAGTAGATCAGAGCATGATAAATATCTCTTTATAACTTCAAAGGCACCTTTCGTTCAAGCAACTAGAGCAACTATTGGACGCTGGATAGTTCAGGTATTAAAGTCAGCTGGAGTAAATACGGAAATATTTTCTGCACACTCTACTAGACATGCCGCTACTTCGGCTGCCTACCGTAAAGGTGTCTCCTATGATGTTATTAGGAAAGCTGCAGGATGGTCTGAACATTCAACGACCTTTGCAAGGTTTTACAAAAGACCTCTGGAACCTCAGTATAATTTCAATAAGATTGTATTCCAAAACTGAACTTGAATGACTAATTTATTATTCGATTGGAACATAATGTGTTACTAGAATAATAAAATGTTTACTATCCTTGCAATATTTGTATCTTTAAAAGTCTACATAGTAAACCTAGTGATCTAGAGGGCGAGGCGCTGTAACACAATTGAACGATCAAACGAACTTGTGAAGTTCGATCGTAATTGTGTAAAGCGCCTCGCCCGAATAGATCACGTCCCATACCCTCGACAATTGAAATTTTTATTTGAAATTTCTTTCCCTCCCTTCAAATATTGACAAGGATAGATCTACAAAAAAGCATAATAACGACAGAAGCACAGAACACGAGAGATGCGACACGGAACACGGGCATAAAACATTTTCCTTTCTTGATTGACACGTCAATCCTTTAAAATTTGTGGCTCCAACTGGCGACAAAGAGCGGTACTACATAGTAAACCTAGTGATCTATTCGGGCGAGGCGCTTTACACAATTACGATCGAACTTCACAAGTTCGTTTGATCGTTCAAATATAATGGATATCGTCTTGGATATCGTCCGGGTAGTTTGAATATGTTCTGTGATTCAGTGATTCTTGTGTCAACTAGTCAACTGTTTTAAGTCAAAAATGTAAACATAAACATGACCACATAACTGACATAACCATAAATATTTCAAAATGTAGATAGGAAACATTCAAATAATTCAAAAATTCTAATATTAGATTCATTTCAGGACTCACTTTCCCAAGCTGTTATCTTTTTACTCGAAGAAGGCAATTTCTAGCTGCCTTCGTGCTTATGGCACCAGATTGAACAAAGAGCTGGATGTGCCCACATTTTGTGATATTCACGTTGATCTCCCTTATAGTGTAAATGTGAAACCTTTGAACGTTCACAAGTACCACAACTGTGACAAACTAATCATTCAACAGGAGGGAGAATTATTGGAAGATACATTAAATTGTTATGTTGATGGAAACCATGTTCAAATTGAAGATGTTGGAAAGAATGACACATCAGTTGTTTGCAATATTAGGGCCCCTGTTAAAGCAAGTAAGTAGTTTTAGAGAGATAAATGCTTGAATCACTAATGGATTGGTTAATTTTAGATTTGTACATCCGTTCTTCCAAAGATATATCAGTGGGATGTTTCAATGGTGACAAAATCTACCTTACTTCATATGGAGGTAACATATTTCTAGGAAAATACCAAGGCAACTGTGTCAAGCTTGTCACCAACCTTGGAAATATTACATTGAGTGAATTTGTGCTGGCTTCAAGCATTGAAGCCAGTGTTTCAGAAAATGGTGTAAGTTGATAAATCCAATTGAATCTTATTGAAAGGTTGTTTGAACATGGTATTTTAAGTCTATCAGCTGTGGAAAACTGCAAGGATCAAAATTGAAGCTCAAAACTGCAAATGGCAACATCACAGTGGAATCATCATATTGTGACCAAAGTGAATTTGAAATTGGTAAAGGCAATTTGGATCTATGTAATGCTCACAAGTCCTGTGAAATATTCCTGAAGGATGGAGAAATGAATTTGAGTAAGTGTTATTCTTGGTGGTATTGCAGCAATTAGTCAGAATGTATCTTTATTGAAAAAAGTCAAATATCCTCTTATTTTCAGCTTGCTTTGATGGTAAGCTGTCATCAGTATTAGAAAAAGGTTCTGCAAGCATCCATTTGTCCAGAATATCTGATGATTCCCAAATAATAATTAAGGATGGTTCTCTAGCCTTGAAACTATCTGAGTCTTGTCAAGAATACAGTAAATTCATGATCAAGAGTAATGATTGTGATATTGGATTTGACTCAAATATATCAACTCAAGGAGGTATTTCTCTAATTCCTAAGATACAGGAGGAAAGTAAAGTTGTGGTGGATTGTCAGAAAGGAAGAGTATCTGTAGAAAGTGTATCATGGCAAGAAATTATGAAGCAGACTTTGAAAAAATAGATACCACTTACATTTGATAATTCTTATCCTAATTTTTTAATGTATCTGGCAAATGATTTTGTGATTAGTCTTTGAACTTTGTCAGCTCCCTAAATAATTTCATATGTTGCTTAACTTTCTATCTAATATGGAACTTTGTTATTGGTTCCTATAATTCCATGTGTTAAAATTATACTTATTGATCTAGTCACTTGACTGATTTTCATCATACTAATTTAAAGAGGCAGGTACCCACATATTTGATCATCACCCTGAGATTATTCTATGCTCATGTATAGTTTGTAATTTGTGAGTAGCTCTCTACACCATACACTGTTTTAAGTTGAGAGATTTCATATGATACTTTGATTTTGCACAATTAAGTATTAGTACTTCTAGTCCTCTGATAATGAAAATTATTTCTTTCATAAAATATATTTGTAATATACTTACTTGATATTAAATCCTCAAAATGGTTATTGGAAATCATTGGAGTGGATTTTTGTTGGGAAATGTGAACAAAAACAAATTTGAAAGAAACCACTTGATATTAATAAAGATGAATTATTTGAGAATCCATTAAATGTCTTTCATTTTGTTAGAAGTTATGTGTTATGTGAAAAAGATGGAGAAAGATAAGTACAGAAGGATAATTCTTCCTACCCCTAGCATAGGACATCAGTCAATTGAGGTACTAGATCTAGACATTTTATATCAAAGGTACCGCAAGGAAGGAAAAGCAAGTAAAAAATGTCAATTTTTTTAAATTCTGAGCTTGAGTGCTGAGCTTCTACTCCGCACTAGGGCATCCCTTGAGGACCCTGTGAATCAAATTTGGAGGACCTACGACAAAGTTGATTTTTGGGTCTGAAAATGAAACAAGGTTAACCCCTTTGAACTTTTTTCATCCATCTCGAGGCGTCAGAATGGGCTGAAAACTTGCATACGGAGTGTTTTCGATGTACTGAACAATATTCTGAAGTCCGTTTCTCTTTATCTCTTTTGGTTCCTCAGATATACGCGATCAAAAACTAAAAAAATTGACTGAAATATATCGCTAAAATGAGGCCAATATTTTCTTTTTGTTGGCAAAATATGTGGAAATAATTCAGTTCTGTCAATAGTTAAGTGATTTCTATGACATCGATCTCCCATCAGTCAATTGAGGTACTAGATCGAGCCATTTTATATCAAAGGTACCGCAAGGAAGGAAAAGCAAGTAAAAAATGTCAATTTTTTTATATTTTGAGCTTGAGTGCTGAGCTTCTACCCCGCACTAGGGCATCCCTTGAGGACCCTGTGAATCAAATTTGGAGGACCTACGACAAAGTTGATTTTTGGGTCTGAAAATGAAACAAGGTTAACCCCTTTGAACTTTTTTCATCCATCTCGAGGCGTCAGAATGGGCTGAAAACTTTCATACAGGGTGTTTTCGATGTACTGAACAATATTCTGAAGTCCGTTTCTCTTTATCTCTTTTGGTTCCTCAGATATACGCGATCAAAAACTAAAAAAATTGACTGAAATATCGCTAAAATGAGGCCAATATTTTCTGTTTGTTGGCAAAATATGTGGAAATAATTCAGTTCTGTCAATAGTTAAGTGATTTCTATGACATCGATCTCCCATCAGTCATTTGAGGTACTAGATCGAGCCATTTTATATCAAAGGTACCGCAAGGAAGGAAGAGCAAGTAAAAAATGTCAATTTTTTTAAATTCTGAGCTTGATTGCTGAGCTTCTACTCCGCACTAGGGCATCCTTTGAGGACCCTGTGAATCAAATTTGGAGGACCTACGACAAAGTTGATTTTTCGGTCTGAAAATGAAACAAGGTTAACCCCTTTGAACTTTTTTCATCCATCTCGAGTCGTCAGAATGTGCTGAAAACTTGCATACAGAGTGTTTTCGATGTACTGAACAATATTCTGAAGTCCGTTTCTCTTTATCTCTTTTGGTTCCTCAGATATACGCGATCGAAAACTAAAAAAATTGACTGAAATATCGCTAAAATGAGGCCAATATTTTCTTTTGTTGGCAAAATATGTGGAAATAATTCAGTTCTGTCAATAGTTAAGTGATTTCTATGACATCGATCTCCCATCAGTCAATTGAGGTACTAGATCGAGCCATTTTATATCAAAGGTACCGCAAGGAAGGAAGAGCAAGTAAAAAATGTCAATTTTTTTAAATTCTGAGCTTGATTGCTGAGCTTCTACTCCGCACTAGGGCATCCTTTGAGGACCCTGTGAATCAAATTTGGAGGACCTACGACAAAGTTGATTTTTGGGTCTGAAAATGAAACAAGGTTAACCCCTTTGAACTTTTTTCATCCATCTCGAGGCGTCAGAATGGGCTGAAAACTTGCATACAGAGTGTTTTCGATGTACTGAACAATATTCTGAAGTCCGTTTCTCTTTATCTCTTTTGGTTCCTCAGATATTCGCGATCAAAAACTAAAAAAATTTACTGAAATATCGCTAAAATCCGTTTCTCTTTATCTCTTTTGGTTCCTCAGATATACGCGATCAAAAACTAAAAAAATTTACTGAAATATCGCTAAAATGAGGCCAATATTTTCTTTTTGTTGGCAAAATATGTGAATTATTTCAGTTCTGTCAAAAGTTGAGTGATTTCTATGACATCGATCTCATATCAGTCAATTGAGGTACTAGATCGAGACATTTTATATCAAAGGTACCGCAAGGAAGGAAAATCAAGTAAAAAATGTCAATTTTTTTATATTTTGAGCTTGAGTGCTGAGCTTCTACTCCGCACTAGGGCATCACTTGAGGACCCTGTGAATCAAATTTGGAAGCCCTACGACAAAGTTGATTTTTGGGTCTGAAAATGAAACAAGGTTAACCCCTTTGAACTTTTTTCATCCATCTCGAGGCGTCAGAATGGGCTGAAAAATTTCATACAGGGTGTTTTCGATGTACTGAACAATATTCTGAAGTCCGTTTCTCTTTATCTCTTTTGGTTCGTCAGATATACGCAATCAAAAACTAAAAAAATTTACTGAAATATCGCTAAAATGAGGCCAGTATTTTCTGTTTGTTGGCAAAATATGTGAATTAGTTCAGTTCTGTCAAAAGTTAAGTGATTTCTATGACATCGATCTCCCATCAGTCATTCGAGGTACTAGATCGAGACATTTTATATCAAAGGTACCGCAAGGAAGGAAAAGCAAGTAAAATATATCAATTTTTTTAAATTCTGAGCTTGAGTGCTGAGCTTCTACTCCGCACTAGGGCATCCTTTGAGGACCCTGTGAATCAAATTTGAAGGCCCTACGACAAAGTCAATTTTTGGGTCTGAAAATGAAACAAGGTTAACCCCTTTGAACTCTTTTCATCCATCTCGAGGCGTCAGAATGGGCTGAAAACTTGCATACAGAGTGTTTTCGATGTTCTGAACAATATTCTGAAGTCCGTTTCTCTTTATCTCTTTTGGTTCCTCAGATATACGCGATCAAAAACTAAAAAAAATTGACTGAAATGTCGCTGAAATGAGGCTAATATTTTCTGTTTGTTGGCAAAATATGTGAATTAATTCAGTTCTGTCAAAAGTCAAGTGATTTCTATGACATCGATCTCCCATCAGTCAATTGAGGTACTAGATCGAGACATTTTATATCAAAGGTACCGCAGTGAAAGAATTGCACCCATCACTTATTCATTCAAGTGTTGATTGTAAAGTATTGTCAATTTTTTTTCCACCAAGCCGTCAGAATAAAACATGAGCTGTTATTAATAATATATTATATTCACAACTGAAAATAATTTAAAATTCATGATCGTTTTTTCGATTTATTCTTCCCTTTCTTCTTTCCCTTAGATTTTTGTTTTTTCCTTTCGGCGATCATTCTGGCTTTGACGATTTGGTCAGAAGTCTTCATTTCTGATTTCCTCTGCTTCATCTTCACCTTCTCGTTGTATCTTGCCCAATGTGTATTCGGTTTTCCCACAGATTCTGTTATAAATTAGAATAATTAAAATTTTATAACAGATTTCGATAATATAAAATCTTAAAACATCTTGAAGAAAAACAATTTTTTTTTCACCTCTTTTCGGACGGGCTCCTTCTTCATCATCACCATCATCGTCATCGGCCTGTCCAGCTTTCGTTTTCTCTTTCCATTCAGCATAGCGGTTACTCTTGTAAGTTGCAGGAATCCATGCACCTGATTCTGTTCTGATTTTTCCCACTTTAGAGTTCTGCAAAAAAAAACAACAAATCGCAAATTTGTTTACATGAAAGCATTCCCCACTTACAGGAACGGCGACCATCTTCTTTTTCTTTCTATCCCACACTTTCATCTGCTTATTCAATTTCAAAGTTTCTGACGAGTCTCCCACCAAATCTAGTTGAGCCCCCGAGGCATCGCTTTGGAAGTTGTTTACAGCCAATCTGAAAAAAAAAAAACATTTAAAATCGCTGATAACAGTTCCACTCAGCACACCCTCATTTGTCAAAAGAATACCATGTTCAATTTGGATTATTAAGAATATATAATGTGGTACCTATAATATTAACCCAGATACTCCCGAAATGAAATATTTTCGAATATGAATATTTTCTTTTCACACTATCAACAATTATGACCTAATGAACAACTTTCCTCTGTAACTTTCATTGATATAATCGATAATTCCATCGATACTGCCCGTCCTTTATAAAGGACAATGGGATATGCAGGAATAATATTTTTATTCATGAGTTGATGATAGAAAATAGAAATACAAAGTGATAGAAATGTATGAGTAAATAATTTTTACTGAGTATGGTACTCGAGAAAACAGGCAATGACCAATTATTGGAAAGTACCACTTCTTTCCTATGATACTCACGCGGTATAGAAAGATAAGATTTCTTCAATGACCTTTAAGAAGGAAGGAAAAAATATTTTTTGGTATACTATGTTCTTAAAAACAAACAGAAAGTACCGATCCAAAATGTTTACTGGAAATTCCCAATACTTGATCTTAGAAACCACAGTCTCAGTCGAATTGGACGAAATCTTCCGCCATCTTGAAGGCGCCATTGATGAATGATTGAATTTTCAACTTGAAATTCCTGTTTCTTGGCTCCAGAAACTCTTTCATGTGAATTTTCAGTCGAATCAGAGGAGAAACGACAAATTCGTCCGCCATCTTGAATTTTCAAATTTTGACAGAAAAGTCTTATTTGTCGACCACGAACACCCCCCATATGAATTTTTAGTCGAATCGGACGAGAAATTGCAAAATTAACCGCCATTTTGAAGAAGTAATTCAGATCCTCTACAACCTACAACTTTTTAATAGATATCAAAATACTAGAATAGATCCAATATGGCGGACTATCCGAAATGGCGTAATAGCTAATTTTAATATACTTTTACAATATGGGTATCAAATGAAAAGGCTCGTTGAGAGTAACTCGAAAAATGATGTGACGTCATTCTAAATCGAATATGGCGAACCATCCAAGATGGCGGAATGGTCATTTTTAATCTACTTCTACAATATGGGTATCAAATGGAAGGGCTCGTTGAGAGTAATTCGAAAAATAATGTGACGTCATTCTAAATCCAATATGGCGGACCATCCAAGATGGCGGAATAGCTATTTTTAATATACTTCCACAATATGGGTATCAAATGAATAGGCTCGTTGAGAGTAACTCGAAAAATGATGTGACGTCATTCTAAATCCATTATGGCGGACCATCCAAGATGGCGGAATGGTCATTTTCAATATACTTCAACAATATGGGTATCAAATGAAAAGGCTCGTTGCGAATAAATCGAAAAATCCAGCTAGCGATAACTAAAAATTAAAAAATAAATTGAGAGTAAAAAAAAATTTTTAAAAAAAAGCTTTCATTCAAACGCTCTAAAAATCAGAAAATGAAATTTTTCTCAATAATTTTAACTTAACGCACGATGTTCTTTGAACATTATAGGGATTTCCTTTCGTGCGCTCCAAGCGATAAAAAAATGAATAAATAAAATAAAAATAACAACTATCATTATTATTTTCTCATCTCACTCACCCCATTTCCGTATGACGATCCGTCGGCATATACGGTATATAATTGTCGTCCCGCATCATCCTCATCTTCTTGTCCTTCCGGTACATCACCTCCAGCTTCCTCTTCTTCGGCACCACCACTCTGGCGAAGGCGCCTTCGATGTCTTCCGCGTTGCTCGATGGCAAAAGGCTCTCGCAGGCCTCTTTGGCCGTCAGAAGATCGGATTCGTGCTGTTTCTGCTGCACCAGCTGTCGATGGACGTTGATGCGTTCCTTGTGGCGGGCTCGCTTTTCCTTCATCACTCGGTATTCTTGGGATTTGGTTTTGCCGCATATCTCGAAAATCGTCTGGAAGAACGAGATTTGTCTGTTGTCTCTATGACCCCTAACTAATTTCGATGAAACAATGAGGTACATTGTATGTTTTCGGGTATAATTGCACAAGTGCATAAAAATATGATTGGTATAAGAGGATTACCATATAAGTTGTTGGAATCATACTTAACAGACAGAAATCAAATTGTGAAAATTAATCACCATAATGACAGAAATACAAAAAAACACTTTTCATCAGCGTTAAATAACAATATTGGAGTTCCACAAGGATCAGTGTTGGGACCAGTACTTTTTATTATTTATATCAACGAGCTGCCAGATCTTCTCAAGGAGACGTTTGTCACACTATATGCAGATGACTAAACCTTTCTATTCAATGATAAAACAGATGAAGGTCTCAAAGATTAAATTGACACAACTATTAATCATCTTTGTAACTGGTTTAGTGGCAATTCTTTATATTTTAATGCTTCTAAAACAAGTTACATCAGCTTCCATACACAACAGAATACTAAACAAACTAATATTAAAATTTCAATTCGAGAAGAGGAAATAGAACGAAAAGACAAAACGGTATTTCTGGGTATCAACTTTGATAGTACCCTAGAATTTAAATCTCACTGTACTGACCTGGCAAGCTTATTGAATAAAAAATGCTATCAAATCAGAACTTTGGAAACCGTGCTGAACACAGAGAACCTTTTATCATTTTATTTTGGAGAAGTGCAATCTAGGCTCATTTATGCTATAACAATATGGGGTGGCACTTCATATACACAAAATGTATTCAAAGTTCAAAAACGAATTATCAGATGCATTGTCTATATATTTTTAAAATACTAGCTTATGTGCGTAGGCATGAAATTGAATTTACTGAAAATAAAGATGTTCATGATTACCACACTCGTAATAAAAATAAATTTCATATCCCATTTGCTCGTCTGAACCTAACAAAGAGGGCTAAAGACGTCTTAGGGCTTGGGTTGTATAATGTTCTGCCAGAGGGTCTCAGCAAGTCGGGAAATGAAAAACTGTTCAAGAGACAACTTAAAACGTATTTATTAGAAAAGTGTCCATATTCTGTAGACGAATTTATGTTATCTGTTAAGTGATGTTATGTTTGTTCCTATTGTAAAATATATCATGTACTCTGTGATCGATTGGATTAATGAATATGACTATGACTATGAGTTCATTCTCATATTTTGGGAAAGAGCCCGAGTCCGAAGGAATGGCTCTTTCTTGGTGACGGGCTCGCTTTTCTTTCATCACTCGGTATTCTTGGGATTTGGTTTTGCCGCATATCTCGAAAATCGTCTGGAAAAACGAGGTTTGTCTGTTGTCTCTATGACTTCCAACTAATTTCGATAAAACAATGAGGTGCATTGTATGTTTTCGGTTATAATTGCACAAGTGCATAAAAATTACCGATAATTTTGCATGAAAGCGTGTTATCTAATATCTAAAAATTGCAAGAGTTCATTCTCATATTTTGGGAAAGAGCCCGTCCGAAGGAATGGCTCTTTCTTTGTGGCGGGCTCGCTTTTCTTTCATCACTCGGTACCCTTGGGATTTGGTTTTGCCGCATATCTCGAAAATCGTCTAGAAAAACGAGATTTGTCTGTTGTCTCAATGACTATGACTCTATGACTAATTTCGATAAAACAATGAGGTATACATTGTATGTTTTCGGTTATAATTGTACAAGTGCATAATAATTACCGATAGTTTTGCAAGAAAGCGTGTTATCTAATATCTTAAAGTTCATTCTCATATTTTGGGAAAGAGCCCGAGTCCGAAGGAAAGGCTCCTTTACAAAATAATAAGATATGAAAATAACTGAATGCAATTTATGCCAGAATGTGATTCATTGGAATATTTCACGAATAAATGTTTTTTTTTCCAGAGAAATATCATAATACTGACAAAGACTATAAATAAAATTTGCTATAAGGCATTTAGATGGTATGGAGCGAGGTATGGAGCTCTCACCAAAATGCGACATTTTTTTCATTATCTGAAATCTGACATTCATTTGTATTGTTTACTGGCGTCTGGCGTCACGGTTTCAAATGGGTTGTTATGGCGACGGCATGTTTTCGCAGTGCAATTACCCACGCAATTACCAGTATTACCACTAATTTTTACAATATTGCATTGCTGTTATGAGACATCTATACTAATATTATAAAGAGGAAAGATTTGATTGTTTGTTTGTTTATTTGTATGTATTGAATAGGTTCCGAAACTACTGAATCGATTTGGGTGAAAATTGGTGGGGAGGTAGCTTAGGACCGGGAGAAGGTAGCACAGATTAAGAAACCTTATTTTGTTAATCTGTGGTTATAGGATACGTTTTATCCCGGTACTATTAGGAAATTCAAGATGGCGGATCTAATATATCGGACGAGTTTTGTAATTATGGCTCGATTCTATTCAAAATTGGTATCTGGTGGTTTTCGGGGTCGGAGATTAAGATTCTTTCGTCAGAAATTGAAAATTCGGGCGGAGTTTGGAAATTCAAGAGGGCGGACGATTTTTGTAATTGTAATCCGATTCTTTTCAAAATTGGTACATAGGGGTTTACGTGATCAGGGATTATGATTCCTTCGTCAAAATTAAGAAATTCAAGATGCCGGATCCAAAATGGCGGATTTTGTAATTAGGATCCGATTTTATTCAAATTTGGTATCTAGTGTTTCTCGAGGTCGGAGATTATGATTCTTTCGTCAAAATTAGGAAATTTAAGAAAGCGTACCCAATATGGCGGACGAGTATTGTAATTATGATCCGACTCTTTTCAGAATTGTTAGCTAGGTGTTTTCGGGGTCGGAGATTATGATTATTTTGTCAAAATTTGGAAGAGGCGGGATTTGGAAATTCAAGACGGTGGAACCAACATACCGGACGAGTTTTGTAATTATATACCGATACTATTCAAAATTTGTAGGTGGGCATTTTCGGAGTCAAAAATTATGATTCCTTCGTCAAAATTAGAGAATTCAAGATGATAGATCCAATATTGCGGACGAGTATTGTAATTATGTTCCGATTCTGGGGTTTTAGGAGTCGGATATTATGATTTTTTCGTCGAAATTGGGAAATTCAAGTGAACTAAAAAGAAGTTGCAATAAATGAAAAACTAAAGAAACACGCTTTTATAGATAGGGAAACTAAAAAGAAGTAGAAAATAAAATAATAATAGTGTCTTGATGAATATTGAAGGTCTGCTAGTAGTATATATGCTGAAAATATTCAAATTAATCTCCTTACCTGATAAAACAATGACTTAATCATGTTACAATCGTGGTTATTTCTGTACAATAAATCATGTCTCTCATGATATATCAATTTCTGTAGTAGTAGTAGTAGTAGTAGTAGTCTTTATTGGCCATATAAAAATACAAAGTACAGATGGCAGGTCACAAATGCACAAGCAAATTTCATAGCAGTATAGATAGAAATTATAGGAATTGTGAGCTTAATAAGCTAAACACATAATATGCAATAATGATAAAAACATGTACAAATTACAACACATATGGGATAAGAAACATTCCTCTGAAAGAAATAAATTCTTCAATAGAATAGAAACCGTTTTTCATGAGGAAGTAGTTTACTTTTGATTCAAAAATTAATATTGTAGCTATCCAAGCTTCTTAGGTTCTCTGGTAAAACATTGAAAAGTGTTATGCAGTTGAAAATGATAGATTTTTTGAAAGTTGAAGTATTATATTTAGCAATACACGTTTCATTGCATCTAGTATTGTATCTATGAAGACTGTTCTGCAGAAAATTTGAATTTGGGGGTTAACGAGGTCGGAGATTATGAATCTTTTGTCAAAATTGGGTACTTACAAAAAAATATAAGAACACTAAAAAACATGCTTTTGTAGTTAGCTGAACTAAAAAATAGTAGTTCAAAAACGAAATAAACACCTTTATAAAGAGCCAAACTAAAAATAAGTAGAAAATAAAATGATAAAAGTGTGTTGATAAATACACAACATATAATGAACTGATTATGGAGATGCTAATATTTTCTATGTTGTTATATTTTCTATGTTGTGAATATATCAGCACACTTTAATTATTATTTCATTTTCTACTTCTTTTGAGACTTCTTTTTAGTTTGGCTATCTATGAAAGGGTGTTTCTTCAGTTTTTTGAACTACTATTCATTATTTTATAGAAATGAGGAGAAAATCCCAAATAGTCTAGCGAAATGGGAAATAAAATTGTAAGAAAAAATTGAAAAATACTTTCCCTGTATAATTGAAAAAAATGCAATCCAGTTCAAGATAAAAATACATTTTTCATGAGCAATATTTTTTCATACCCCTTGTGGTCTGTAACTCTTCATTTTATCCAAGAGATCTTCTTTGACATCTTCATCCTTATCTTGGATACCTTTGAACAGATGATGAATAGAGCAAGTTGACAAAGGCAACTCTTTTATGCGCCTATTACTGTCTGAAGATGCAGCCGGTCTGGACCTCAAGTACTGTTCATATCCATTTTCTGACACTTTCTTTGCACTCACCTTCAATTTTTTCTCAAATTATGACAAAATACTCCATGAATGGACTGAAATTCACTCACCAAATCATTGTTAACATCATGCAGAATAAGCAGAGAGCTGTGCTGCTCCTCCAGAAGAGACTGAGGTATCCTACCAACATCCCCATTTTTGTTTGATGGTGAGGCTATTGAGAGGGGGCGCCCCAAAAACAAGTGCAAGTCCAACAAAAAAGCAAACTCATCAGGTTCTACTAGGGAATAGGCCGTACCTGATCTACCTGCTCTAGCACTCCTACCTAAAATATATGAATTAATTAAAAGTAACAAAAAAACTTTTTCTTATGATCATACAGGATCATATAAATTGTGTATAATGAGGTTATGAGTTGATAGTTAAAATTATCAAGAAAAAATTTATTTTCTTCTTTTTAGAGCGTTTAAATAAAAGCTTTTTATTAAAAAGTTTTTTTCACTTTAAATTTATTTTTTAATTTTTAGTTATCGCTAGCTGGATTTTTCGATTTACTCTCAATGAGCCTTTTCATTTGATACCCATATTGTAAAAGTATATTAAAAATAGCTATTCCGCCATCTTGGATGGATTTAGAATGACGTCACATTATTTTTCGAATTACTCTCAACGAGCCCTTTCATTTGATACCCATATTGTAGAAGTAGATTAAAAATGACCATTCCGCCATCTTGGATGGTCCGCCATATTCGATTTAGAATGACGTCACATCATTTTTCGAGTTACTCTCAACGAGCCTTTTCATTTGACAACCATATTGTAGAAGTATATTAAAAATAGCTATTCCGCCATCTTGGATGATGTACCATATTGGATTTAGAATAACGTCACATTATTTTTCGAATTACTCTCAACGAGCACTTTCATTTAATACTCATATTGTAGAAGTAGATTAAAATTGACCATTCCGCCATCTTGGATGGTCCGCCATATTCGATTTAGAATGACGTCACTTCATTTTTTGAGTTACTCTCAACGAGCCTTTTCTTTTGATACCCATATTGTAGAAGTATATTAAAAATAGCTATTCCGCCATCTTGGATGGTCCGCCATATTGGATTTAGAATGACGTCACATCATTTTTCGAGTTACTCTCAACGAGCCTTTTCTTTTGATACCCATATTGTAGAAGTATATTAAAAATAGCTATTCCGCCATCTTGGATGGTCCGCCATATTCAATTTAGAATGACGTCACATCATTTTTCGAGTTACTCTCAACGAGCCTTTTCTTTTGATACCCATATTGTAGAAGTATATTAAAAATAGCTATTCCGCCATCTTGGATGGTCCGCTATATTCAATTTAGAACGTCACATCATTTTTTGGGTTACTCTCAACGAGCCTTTTCTTTTGATACCCATATTGTAGAAGTATATTAAAAATAGCTATTCCGCCATCTTGGATAGTCCGCCATATTGGATTTAGAATAACGTGACACATCTTATCGTGCATTGTCATCCAAACTGAACGTGTATACAAAATTTCAGCTAAATTGGTTGAAGATTTCTATCTCAAAATTGAGTTCAAAGATTCCACCTGAACATACATACATACAAACATACATACATACAAACATACAATGCAAGTTAAATGAAAGCTTTTAAAAAGGTGAAATGATGTCAACAAAGTAGAGTTTTCATATCTTACCAACACGATGGACAAACAATTTTGGCTTGGCAGGAAAATTGTAGTTGATCACATTGTCTAGCTGAGGAATGTCAATACCTCTAGCAGCTACATCTGTTACAATCAGAACTTTAACTTTCCCCAAGCTGAATTTAGCTGCATGGATTTTTCTTGCAGAAGGGTCCAAATTTGAATAAATATAGGTGTTGCTGATACCTACTGTATCTAGAACCTGAAAATATGATTGTTAACATGGCTTGGAATCACATTAGTATGAATACCAACCATGTGTAAATATTCTACATGATGTTTAGTTGCAGCAAAAATTATAGTTTGTTGTTTAGGTTCAATATGAGACTTCAGCAATACTAAAAGTGCTGCTAACTTCTCCTCAGGTCTTACTGCTAAATACCAACACTGTAATTCTGTTGGTAATTTTGTTTCAACATCTAATCTGAAATTTCACAGAAATGAAAAAAAAATAAATGAAAAAAAAAGTGCCTGACAACTTACCTTATGAGTACAGGATCTGTAAGGCCAGCTTTGGCAAAGTCAACCAACACTTTTGGCAAAGTAGCTGAAAATAAAACAGATTGCCTAGTATCTGGTAACCTCCTGACTATCTCTGTCAACTGTTCTCCCAATCCCATCTCAAATAATCTATCAGCTTCATCAAGTACAACATACTCAATGCTACTCAATTTCAGCTCCATTTCAACACATACATGTAAAAATCTGCCAGGAGTGGCCACAATGATATCAGGGTTCCCATGGATAGCCAAAAACTGTTCATCCATTGGATCTCCTCCAAGAATGATAGCTGTTTTCAAACCCATATAACGGCCTATCTCTTTGATAAACTTCAAAGTCTGCAAGGTATTGATATTTCAGTGTGTACTAGAAACATTTTTAAAAAGGTGATGCAAGAATACCTGTAAAGCAAGTTCTCTTGTAGGGGCTAATACCAATGCTCTAGCACCTGCTTTTGCACTTCTGACTTTCAGTTTTTCCAACATGGGGATAAGAAATGCAGCAGTTTTTCCACTACCTGTGCGTGCCATTGCCACCACATCTCTTCCTTCCATGATAAGAGGAATTGTCTAGAAATACCCAGTCAGTACCTTGTAACATATTCAGTCCAATAACACTGTTACCTTTCGCTGAATAGGGGTAGGTTGTTTGTAACCCCTTTTAGTAATACCTCTGAGGACATTGTAGTTGAGGTTCATGGACTGAAATCCACTGCCCCTTTTGCCACCTTTCTTTTTCACAGTATCCTCGACGTCTTCATTGAGTTCAACGGTAGCATTTGGATCGTTGAAACCTGGTACATTAATCATTTTTGACCAAATAAACTCTCTGAAAATTGAGAAAATTCACTAAACAGGTGTGTAGTTTGTTTGAAGTGACATGAACATGTGTGTTTTTCTGTCATAACCTCAAAAATAATGTGCAGATTCCTATACAACTTATCTCTGCCTATACTAGCGCTGTAAGCGAGACCTGTATTGGTTCAATTCACAGATTTCTTCACTTATTAGATTCCTATAATAACGCTGTTATCGCGACCTGTATTAGTTCAATTTACAGATTTCTTCATTTAATAGATTCCTATAGTAGCGCTGTTATCGCGACCTGTATTAATTCAATTTACAGATTTCTTTATTTAATAGATTCCTATAGTAGCGCTGTTATCGCGACCTGTGTTAGTTCAATTTACAGACTTCTTCATCCAATAGCACAGTACAGGTGTGTTCGTTATTTTCCGAGTAGTGCTCATATGTAAATAGTTGTCTTGTCTTTGTTCAATGCACGAGCAAAACAAGGATAGTTTTCGTGATTTTCAATTTTCAAGCAGCTCCTTTCAAAATTCTTTCAAATGTCATCTCTGACAAACATAATATAAACATAACCTAATAATAAGTGAATGAAGGAATGAACCAAATCGTTGGTGGAATGTAATGTAATCCGGTATTATGTTATTTTGTGCAGAAATCACGGATGTCCGCATAATTTACAATGTTCTTAGATCAATCGCTATCAAAGATGTAATTCAAACAGATTATTAAACTTCAACAATACCAAATTTCCACATTCTTTTAAATTTTCAGTATGTGATACTCAGGCCTATGGAAGAGGGGCTGAAAGCTACCCTGGACGAAATGAAATGTGTAGAAACTTCTGCTTACATACCGGCGACCATGTTTTCAATGTATCAAATAAACAGTACCAGCACTGATATCATTTTCAAAGTCAGCATGAAAACCCTAGTAGAAATTCTGAACATATTTGGGGATGATGGCAATCCGAATCTCAAGCTCTCCTACAAATCGCCTGGCTCCCCTCTCTGTATAGTGTGAGTTAAATCAATCAATGATTCAAATATGTGGAATAGAACCGTGTTTTAGAATGAATCACAATGAAGAGAATATAACCATTGACTGTGAGATAAGGACTATGAATGTGGAGGATTACAATGATATCAGTTTGGCAGACGAATGCAATTTGAACAAAGTTGTTATCAATGCCAGTATTTTTGTGGAGTTGCTAAATAGATTGGACAACTCTGCAGATGAACTAAAAGTTTCACTTAATCCAGATCCCCCTTATCTAACTTTAGTCACTACTGGAATTGCTGTAAGTTGCAAGCCAAAACTGCATCATTTGAAAGTGAATGCTATTTTGTTTCCTTAGGGTGAATCAGAAGTGAATATTTCTAAGAGTGCAGAATCCATCACAGTGTATCAGTGCACCAAAACAACTAGTTCTGTGTACAGCTTCTCTAATATAAGGCACATTCTGAAAGTCATGGGGTATGCAGACAAAGTAGCCATCTCAACAGGAGAGTCAGGGCTGCTGGGACTGCAACTTGTCATCAGTTCAGATGAAAAGCAGATGTATGTTGAATACTATGTAACATCACAGTACTTGACTGACTGACTTGTTTATGTTAAAATAAATTTCACTAAGTTAACAGAAAAAAATTTGGGGGATTCTTGAGTTGAAACTGTGTTCTTGATTTGAATTCATTAATAACTCAACCAATATTAGCTATTCGCTTAGCTAAAAGCAATACAATTTGAAATTTGAATCATAGCTGTCCTCAAAGCGGGACCAACTTAGAGATTGATATATTACGCTTACTATAGGTAACGAAATCGACCAATAGGCGTTGATGCCGACCATGATGAAAATAGACTGGTGTAACGTGTAACTACTTGTTTTTTTCCAAAACGTGTAGACCGCGAAACACCGTAGCAAGGCCGCACCGGATTGACTGTAGATGGCGTAGGGAACATCGTGCCACATATACTTCACAAATATAATGAAAATTTCATGTCTTATTCATTAAATCAATCACTTCTTCTGAATGTTTTTAAATTAACAATTAATATACGTAAATGTAAACAACAAAACAACCATTAGATCACTTCGGGAACAGCGCCATCTAGCGTTAGTTTTGCGCGGCCTTACTACGGTGATAGACCTTATAGGTTCAAAAAGTACCTCTAATTTTGATCCATTTTTGTTGATATCGTATAGGCGATGCGCCATATATAGAAATAGTACATACATTTTTCCGGCAAACTCAAAGATTCAATCTAACCTCAACTCCTCGTCTTCTCAGATTTTGTGTAATGAATGTGAAATAAATTTCATGTTGAAGACATTTTTTCTCTGAACGCTAGCTTTTTTAATTTTATGAATTCGTAAATAATGCAGGGAGCCAGTGAGTTGGAAAGTACTAATGAAGCATGACCAACTATAGGTAACGAAATCGACCAATAGACGTTGATGTTGACGTAGGGAAAAAATAATAAGAAATTTGTCAAACCAATATGGCCGTTTCCGTCCTTATAACTTGTTCAGCAAGTACCTCTCAATTTGGACCCATTTTTGTTGAGATATCGTAGCGGTAGAAGCTGGTTCAGATTCCCGGCCGGTGTGAAAGTAAATGAAAGTTCATTTTATGAAATGGTTTATAGGTGTTAATAATTATGTTAGTTTGCATTTCATTCCCATTCAGCGGAAAAATAAATATTGCAAATTAAGTGAATATGTTCACAAATATTGTCTATGAAAAAGTATTCAAAGCTAAACCTATCTGAATAATTGATCTACCTAGTACTGCAGGGGCGTATTTCAATATTCAGCGCCCCGGGCCTGTAGGGTTTGCCGCCCCATAAATCAACGGAAAATGAGCAAAACATTAAATCATGAAATGAAAGCCAGCAGTATATTGGGTTGAGAATGATAATAATGAATGGAAAAATTAAGAAGGCCAAAGAAAGAAATAAACACTATTTATTCGATATTTACATTTTCTTTCGATGGACAGATTGGTTAACAAATTCGTCAATAACACTGTCATAATTAATGGAATTTGTCAGTTCAGCTTCTATATTGAGAATAGCTAAACTATTCAAACGTTCTTCGCTTAAACGAGAACGTAAATAATTTTTTATTCTTTTAAGTACAGAAAATGACCGTTCTGCACTGCAATTGGTCACCGCAGTGCACAGAAATATTCGTAATGCTATATCAATATATGGAAATGCTTCCTTCAAATCTTTTTGCTTAATAAATAAGCTGAGTTGCCTTAAACTCATTTTATTTTCATGAGACGTCAGGAATTGTTTTAAGAGAACACATTCTTCTTGTAAATCATCCGCCAGATCAATAGGGTAAACTTTTTGGAGTTTTATGGCATTTAATCTCACTTCTGAAGCAGACATTGTATCCAATTTGCATAAAAATGCAAAATTGGCGGTTACCGCCTCATACGAAGTTTTTCGCTTCCTTAACTCGCCCAATAATCGGTCGCATATTGGAAAGAAGGTATTAACCCTGAAATGATCCCGTCCTTGAAACACCACTTCTCCCTCGCTACTCTCATCGTCTCGTTTCTTTCTCTTGACAATTCTATTGTGAATGTTCCGGTACTCTTCTGTGCATTTTCTTTTACCAGCCTTTTCAAAAGTATCAAAAGATTCCCGTTGTTCTTCTACAAAAGTAATGAGTGACTTGTAAAGCCTGGAAACTACTTCTACGTCTGTGTCGACACCTTGTAGTATTTTGGAAACTATACCAAATCGTTTTAATACAGATCCCCAAAATTCCGATAATATGGCAGAGCCATCGGATACAATACCACCGCTCGCAATAAATGACAAATGCTTTGCGCACCCAGAATTTGTTGACTTTGTTTCCGAGGAGTGCATGTGAGTGAGAGGTAAAATTGGAACATCGACATCAAAGGTTCCGACACGGAGTAATCTAACTGTGTGCCGCCGACGCTAATTTCTTCGGAGGAATAAAGTAAAAAAAAAACCTAAGCGTGGTGCGGCTTGCGCCGCCCCTCGCAGCCTGCCGCCCCGGGCCATGGCCCTTTTGGCCCTTAGGTAAATACGCCCCTGCCTAGTAGGGAAAATTAAACATATTATGTGCTTCGTTTTTTAAGGATTTGATTTTTAGAATTTCTACTTTTGACGTCTGAGAATAAAATTCAACTGAATATTCAATCTTGAGGTTGAGAAAAAAATGAAAGTATCGTATTCGCGAGAATCACGAAGTGTGCGGCCTCTGGTGGCTAACTTTACAAGTCTTGCGAGTATGAACAACAATGACAACAAATATGACGACCATTGTTTTGAGTTTCATAATTAATTATGTGTTAAATTTAAAAATAATTCATTTGTTGAGGTGCATATTCCAGAACCTCACTTTTCCCTGATGAAAAAACTCGAATTATTGCATGAACTTTTGTTCAATGTTGTTTACAATGAAGAAACCAGTACCTACCTTATGATAATGATATACATTTTCTGAAGCACAATTAAAATCATTGCATAAATGTTGGTTGCAATGATTCGATCTTGAGAATAACTTCAAGTCCTCAATTGCTGGAGATCCTTGTTTATGTGAATCGATGATATTGTTCATTTTGAGCAGCCTTTCCAACCATACCTTTTTCTCCAACCCCTCCACTAGAATTCCATTTCCTTCCTAACAGCTACTGATATTTCTTGATGAATTCAATTATTTCTTCATACCTATACCATATTGTTGTAATATAGCCGATTGCTTACATGGTTCCATTCCAGTCCATGCAAGTGTTGAGTGGAACATTCCGACAATTCCATATGTTTGAAAACTGTGGAATTGTTGTGATATTAATGATGAATACCACCAGTCCATATCAAAATGGCAATTTCTCTGCACAAAGTTATTTTTTCCATACTGAAAACCTTGTACTTACGTATTTCACGATGTCAACACATCATTTACTATTTTGCAAAATTTCCAAATAACCAATTTGTAATCAGTGCATACGGCAATGTTTTTGTTGTTCATACTCAGTTTGAAATTTGACGTTTAATAGCGCCATCTATTGGTTCGTGACTTTCGCGAATTCTGTGATACAATGAGAATACTCATGAATAACATGTGAAGCGGCGTAATGATGATTCAAATACTCTACTGAAAAATTAAAACCCGAAAAATACAACAAGGACCACTAACATTTCGATAAAATGCATGGAAACATTCTTACTTTCCATTAGTTATCTGCAAGAGGGCGTATTATGTTGAACAAAATAAACATCTCCAGGTCAAATCAAAAGACTCCGAACGTCCTAACCAAGTTTATTGTTACACAATAAAAAAATAAAGGAAGAAGTAACCACCTCGGCCGATCTAATCCTCCTGCTGCAACTTGGCCAGATAGGACTTCTTCTTTTGCGCCACGCGGTCCTTGCGCTCGGCCAGCGTGAGCTTCCTGCGGTTCCACCTCTTGCTGGTGGCAGGCGGGGCCTTCGCCTCCTTCGTCTCGGCATCGGGATTGGCGCGGATGGCTGAGTGGGCGTTCTTGTAGATGCCCTCGATCTTCGGACATTTTCAAAATGTTCATTTTCAATTTATTTATTTATTTATTTATTTCAAGTTTGGGATACAAACAGGTAAAACCCATACAAGCATCCACTAATAGTTACAATAATAATAGATCTTTCGGTAGTCTAAGAGGTACAGGAATAAACTGAATTGTATTCATTATAAGATTAAGAATTGAAAATATGTCTTACAGTTATGGTGAATATATCTAAATTATTACAATATTTGTTGAAACAGTAACACATTCTGGTGATTGGAGAATTTTTTCCCAAATTTGTGTCGTAACTAGGACTAGTAAGTAATTGTCTATTTCTAGTATATCTTTGAGGAACATGATAAAAAATCATAGACACTAAATTAGGAGAATCGTAACATTTTTTTATGATTTTGTACATAAAGAGTAAATCCGTAATTATTCGTCGTTGTTCCAGAAGCTGTATTCTATAAAGAGAACGAATTTCACTGATGCCAACAGTAAGTTATGTAAACCTTCGTTATTTTGAAGTGGAGAAACCTTACAAATCTATTCTGGAGTCTTTCTAATGGTATTTTATAAACATTATAATGTTCTCAATAGAGATCTTTTCTATCTTGAACGAGGAGGAAAGTTCTCTCCTCTTCCATCTTTCTCTTCAATGATACCAACGTAGCCGCATTGAAATATAGAGAGGCCCGATAGATTTGTCCTTGTCTAACATCTAGTTTGTGCCACTGAACTATTTTTGAATTCAGCTCAGTCAAATTTGAGGATATTAACAAATTACATCAAAATAAGTATGATATAAATCAAAATTTATTTTCTATCGCGAAAAACATCGAAAATAGTTCAGTGGCGCAGACTAGAGGTTAGACAAAGAAAGATTTATCGGACCTCTCTATATTTCAATGCGGTCACGTTAGTAGCATTGAAGAGAATGATGGAAGAGGAGGGAACTTTCCTCTCTCTCGTTCAATGTAGAAAAGAGCTCAATCACACGACGAGAATGAAATCTAAGTATCATTATGACAAATTTCAGTTCTGATTATTGCACAAACATATTTACCACACGACAATAAAATCAAACATGGTATAATCCAGTTAAATACAGGGTTGGCAGCAATTAATTCATATGAATGTGATTTGTTTCGTGAATTAATTCAAATGACTTTTGAAAAATGCCATGAATCCCTTCAAACTTTCCCGGGTTGCGTGCAAGAACTGTCAGATGACCGACCCTGGAGGTGATACATTGAAACACAACCTCACTTTTCTTATTTGTTCACAAATGATTGAAATAGTTTGTCACAATTATCTTGGCATAGGAATAGTGTTATACGGCTATTCATTAATTCGCACAATGCACAAAAAATGCAGTGAGAGACGAAAGAATCCGGTTAATACATAATGATTTAGAAGTATGTCACTCACATGTAGTTTTCATTTTGAAATTTGTCAATTTCTCTGATTTCTCATCGGAATTCCTTCTGCAATAGAAGCTAATAGAAATACTCGTGAAATTTCTAGAAGAAAGCAAGAAGATTAGATTCATACAGTCAAACGGGAGGACTAGTCTGACATGCTGACGAAATATGATCGTTTGTGTTGTAGATATTTTTAATCCTTTAGCAGTATTTGCAGAAGGAATTTTAATAAGAAATGACAAAATTTCATAATGAAAACTATGTGGGATTACTATTCACCTGAAAAATCATATTCCGTTCGTCTCTCGCTGCATTTTTTGTGCATCGTACAACAGCACAATGAGAAGGCATGCTTGAATTAATGGATTGCGCAAAAAACACCAAAATATTGCGAAAAACTAGTTCAATCCTTTGATTCCTCAGTAAACAAATAAAAAAGTGAGGTTATGTTTCAAAAATTCACAGAAGAGTGAGGTTGTGTTTGAATATTTTTCCTCCAGGGTCGATCATCGTGCACGCGACTAATGAGCAGTTCATCTACCATTGAGAGAAAAAAATGTATTCTCTATCTGTCCTTGCCTTCAGTGTTCCAACGTAAAATAATGGAATTTTTATATTGGTAACATTGGTAATGAGAAAAAATGGAGAAGATCATATTAACCTCAATATAAAAAAGGTTAGAATTATCTTCTCCATTTTTTTCTCATTTTCAGTGTTGCCAACATATAACTTCTTCAATGAAGATTCTCAATAAGTAATAAGTTGCATAATTATTATAATATGTATTTATTTAAGCAATAGTCTATTGCATGTTTTGTATTGTTGTGCTTCAAGCTTAGAGAAATACAATTTTTGTTATGTTATTCAATTAATTAATAAAAAAATAGAATCGATTCATAAGATCTGACTTATTTGACTTCTTTATTAGTCATGACTCATTCCAATCCTGGTTACATTTCAGTTCTATATAGAATGTTGATGAAACGTTTTCTTTGAAATATGATTATATAAAAAAAAACAAAAAGAAAGGCACTGTGCTTTCTATCAAGTTTTCAGGGTCATATTCAACAATGAAAAATACTTGAATTGTCTCAGGTTTTCATCTAATTTATGACAATGGGTGAGCCAAAAATATAAGTGGAAAACCTGAATTCTATGTAGTCCAAGTGCGACACGGCAGTTTTAGAAATATTACCAACTGCAGTAATTTATATTGGACGAAAAGAAAAAAAAAAGTTTCCGCAATAGTTAGTCTCAGTTGTACAAAGAAAACAATGTATATTCAGCCATGGCAGTTTTTTAATGACATGCCAAAATATTAATCAAGGAAGCGAGTTTCAATATACCGGGTGACGATTGGAAAACAAGCAGCAACTCAAATCACTCAATATTTCTTCAACTGATGACACTATCAAAACTTAGCAAAACATGTCAATTTATATAAATATCCAGGGGGTCAATTTTTGAGGTATTTGTTGTTATATTATATTCAATCCCAATACCGCCAGGGCAACCTCTAAAATTTTAAATAACAACTACCAGTAAAAACTTCACAAACGATAAGATTTCCACAAAATTTATCAACACAGTAGCTTCGTCAGGTGATATACTGGTACAATGAACTGAACTAACGTTTAAAAAAAAACGGTGTTTTGATATTTTTGAGATACTTATGTGATTCCAGATAAGTTCCAAACTTTTAAATTGTATTGTCATAATGAATTTAAAATAGATGTGACTTATTTGGAGTCACATAAGGACTTCATAAACAGCAAAATAAGTAGGGGTTGCTGATTAAACTTCTAGGGGTAGAAGCACTGATGGTGAAGAGGCTGAAAAATACCTCAAAAATTGCCTTCCTCATAATATAAATTGACGTGTGTCATTAGTTGAATAAATATCAGGTGCTACCCATTTTCAAATTGTCACCCTGTATATCCTAGCTATACAAATGAATCATGAAATTTCCTCATCAGACATTTTTTCCGTCCGTCTTCAGGGCTTCCATGAAAAAAGTTGAACCCACCAATTTTTCTTCTGTGGTTTCAAATCTAAATTTCCAAATTCACTATTTGAAAAAACAAAAAAAAAGTACTTCCACGACGTACTCATTTTTTTTCTTCAACACTATATGATGAAAACCTTACCTCAAGACATATAATCTGTAAAAATTTTTCCGTCTGTCTGCAGGGCTTCCATGAAAAAAGTTGAACCCACCAATTTTTTTCTGTGGTCTCGAATCTGAATTTCCAAATTCACTATTTGAAGAAAAAAAAGTACTTCCACGACCTCTTTTTTTTTTCTTTCTTCAAACACTATATGACAAAAACCTAACCTCAAGACATACAATATGTCAGACATTTTTTCCGTCTGTCTTCAGGGCTTCCATGAAAAAAGTTGAAAACACAAATTTTTTCTCTGTGGTCTCAAATCTGTATTGCCAAATTCACTATTTGAAAAAAAAGTACTTCCACGACGTACTCTTTTTTTTTCCTTCAAACACTATCTGGCAAAAACCTTACCACAAGACATACAATCTGTCAGACATTTTTTCAGTCCATCTTCAGGGCTTCCATGAAAAAAGTTGAACCCACCATTTTCTTTTCTGTGGTTTCAAATCAAAATTTACAAATTCACCATTTGAAAAAACAAAAAAAAAAGTACTTCCATGACGTACTTTTTTTTTTCTTCTTCAATCACTATCTGACAAAAACCTTACCACAAGACATACACTCCTTTTCCGAGGTCCCCGCCTAAACAAGAATAAAAACAACAACCACTCACCTGGTCAGCATTGATGCCCAACTTGATGTACTGGCTGAACTGCCTCTTGAACGCCTCGGGGTCCTCCTCCTCCAACGTCCTCATGTACTCGGCCACGTGATTGGCGAAAATATGGTTGCGGTGCACCTCCGCATTGAACGTCTTGGTCTCGTTGTCATAACCCGGGAAACGCTTGGTGGAATGGGGAATGTTGAGGCCCCCGTCGACGGCCCCCTTCATGGCGGCGAACACTCGGGCTCCGGTGCTCGTGCGTTTCAGCCCGACGTCCAGGTAGCACCTGCAAGGGGGGCAGGGTTCTTTCAGAGGGGGCAAAGGTTGGATGACCGAATGGTTTGGGGTTTTTTTTCCATCAGAGACACGTTATAATCAATGTGATCGGTGGTTCTGGGCAAACTTCTGGTTGCTTTCGCCGTAAAACACGGCGAAAGTCCATCGGAGAGCTTCGAATTACCGAGTCAGATGACGCGCATGTGTCATAAATTCATCATCAAAAGTTGAACAATCATTACCCAGTTATCAAGCTTAGTTTATTGCTGGGCGATGCTAGCGATGAAACTTGTTGATGTTATTATTGGTCAATTCGAATTAATCATTCCAGAATTACGTCATTTGACAGGTTGCTGAGGGGCAAACATTGTATCTTGTCAAGATTTGTCATATAAAACCAGAATTAGTGGGATCGTTTTCCTTGGAATCCGAGTTGGAACCAGAAAGAATTTCATAATTTTGTTTTGTGAAACTGTTATTATATTGTGGATGTGGCAGGGACGGCCAGAGCAATGCTCATCAAAGGTAACCTAACAGATAGTTTGTGTGTCCCTCAAGAAATCATGTCAAAATCACGTGTTCTAGAATGATCAATAGAGCAGTTCAGCTACCGTTGAGAGAGAAAAAAAATGTCTTCCCATCTGTCCTTGTCTTCAGTGTTCCAACATGAAATAATGAAAATCTTATGTTGCCAACACTGGAAATGAGAAGAAATGGAGAAGAAGACCGTTCTAACCTTTTACATCGAGGTTAATATGATATTCTTTTCCATTTTTTCCCATTTCCAATGATGCCAACATAATATTTTCATAATTTTATGTTGGAACACTGAAGACAAGGACAGATGGGGAAGACATTTTTTTTTTCTCTCTCAACGGTAGCTGAACTGCTCTATTGGTAGGCATCATCGACTAATAATAGCTTCACACGTTTCATCGCCAGCCAAAATCGCCCAACAATAAACTGAGCTTCAAGGGAATCCTAAGATGATTTATAACTATCAACTATTCAGCGATGCACAGACAATTTACAGGATTCTTGTCAGCGACAGTTCACTAGAAATTAATTCCAAAGTAATGGGTGTGTTTTTCATTCCATCAAAGTCCACTTTGAGATATGAATTATTATTATCAAATTATAAGCCATAAAAAACTTTCAAATGTCATCATTATATGGCTTATTACATTTACAAATGAAAACATCTCATTGCATAGAGAAACAAGACTTTATGATAACTTTGTCCATTCCATCCAATTTTGTCAATTGATTCCATTTTGTCCAGGAGACTGAACCAAATCAAAAAGTGAACAAACTGCACATCCTGATTACTATTGATAGAATATACTACAACACTAAAAAAAAATCATCAACCTGTTTTAGGACTTATATTTTCAGAAATAGTTACCTGAATTATCCATTACTTGAATAGAATATACATGGGGAATACCCTTTAGTTTCCTATTCTATTTGAATTCAAATTTATGTTTCAATACATGAGAATTATATCACTACCAACATACAAGGTGATTTTGAAACAACATACAATGAATATTCCCATATACTTTACCAAGTCTTTTGAATTAACAATGTATTCTATCCTGAAAATTGAATAAGAATTGAAAAAAAAATCAGAGCATGCCACTCTAGGGTAAAACTGCATTCATCATGTGATGATTTTTATCATAACTTTTATCTGGTACTTACGTATTTTTGTCTGAAAAACATGAATTTGATAATGAAAATGTAAACAAACCACTATTTATAGAGATATTTCAAGAAAAAGTTCGAAAATTCGCCTTCTTTCTCCCCTTGTGTTGGATGCATTTACAGCTACTTGCTTTTCTTATTTAGTCATTGGACACTTTATATACTTCAATGACACATTTTTACATAGAAAATTCAACAGAAAATATAATTTTTATGGTGAGTTTTTCATAATTAGTGAACAATACTACCAGATGACGACCATTTAATCAATAGTCAATCCAAATATGAGATGTCAAATGTCAATAGATTGCTTTGGAATGACTTTACTTTGAATGATAGTCTTCCTTCTTTTCACTAAATATGGATAAATCTCAAGAAAATCATAATTTCTAGGTGACTCATATAATAGAAAAAAATGTGTCATAAAAATATAAATTGTTCAATGATGAAAAAAGAAGGGCAAATTGTTCTAAATGCATCCAGATGACAGGCAGAAAAGAAAGTGAAATTTCTAACTTTATAGTCAAATATCTTAAAAAATAATGGTTTGTTCACATTTTCATTATCATATTCATGTTTTTCAGACAAAAATAAAGTACCAAACAAGTTTTACCCACATTTGTACCTTCCCTATGGAAATTAACAGGAAAGTGACATCAGAATTACTATTGGGAAGTAATCAAGGCAAAAAAGGGCCATATTTTGATCCTGATTCAAATTATATGTGTTCATTTCAATATCACCCAGTATAATAGAAAACGATAAATAAAAAATGATAAAACACAAATTGCCTCTTACCACAATTTCCACAAATTTGTCCATCAATTCCTGCACCTCAAATACAATTGGTCTGCAATGTAGTTGAAGGACTTTGCAAATGAACTCATAGAGCTTCAGTATTACCACAGTGAACCTAAACTCATACCCTCTTTATTTTCTCAATTAATAATCTCAAAACACAAACATATTGTAAAAAGCTCAGTAAAAAGGTATGAATGAAAGTTCACCAGACTCAAGTGTCCAAATCCAGTCCCAATACCAGGGACTTAAGGCAGTAATCTAGTGAATTAAAACTAAATTTTAATTCACTAACCTGAATGCTCCAGGACCATTATCGACTCCCTCAACATTGTACTCATCCCCAGTAACATCAGTGGTACCCTCATACAAGGAATCCAGTCCCAGCTTTTTCAACAAGCGCCTTGCCAACAACAAGCCAGTGCAATAGGCAGCAGCATAGTTGGTCAGACCGATCTTGACCCCATATTTGGGCAACTCGTGCGAGTATGCGGCGCAAACGATTTTGTCGCCTTCGATGCGAGAATAAGCCACCTGACAAGTTATGTTGCGGTTGGAGAAACGCACAATTAGCCTGTACTTGGGGGTGTTATATTTGTCCTTATCTTGGACGATGAGGCGCTTGCGAGCATAGTAATCGGTCTTTCCTTCGCGACGCCTCTTGAATTTCACTTGGAACCTCTTGAAGTATTGTTTGTTCTTCACTACTTTTACGAAACCCTAGAAAACATTCGTTCATACACACAACAAAATGAATCCAAAATCATCTTGGAAATAAACAACTATGCTGCCGAAAAAACAGATCATACATATTCCAAATCATGATTAATTAGATTAATAGGTAATATTTATAATAACAAACTCACCATTGTTGATTAAATTTAATGAATAATCACACACCCTCGACGTTCACTCTTCAGCATCGAAGCAGTGAAAAAGAAATGGAATTGGACAGCTGACAGAATGACAGAGTCAAAATATCGGACATGCCAACTTAAATGATGCCAAAATCCAATATTGCCAACTTCTAAAAATAAATGACAGATCGCGCAAGTATTTGTACAGCTGCCGGCTGCTAACCAGGAAGTAGATACGCCAGTATTAAGCCAGTATCATTATAATTATTGAGATCTTATTATAATATAATATGATATAATAGTATACTAAGCAGAAATGAAATAAAGACTGAACCTAATAATTTCAAACTTTATTCATAATATAATTGTGATGAACTGCTATAATAATGGAATGGATAGTATGTATGAGCAATATATAGAGCAATGTATAATAATATTTTATACCTACAAGTTTAACCCTAAACTAAAACAGATCTGGAGGTAAAACTGGTTTTAAATAAGTTTCCAACAACTCATTACCAACTTGGAACGTCACTGCTTCATTTGTGAAGTGATCAACAAAATCTCTCAAGTTTGAAAATTCGGGGGGTACGCTTCCAGTGTCCGAATTCAATTTAATTTTATCATTTTTCGTTCGTTCTATCCCTAAATTATAAAACTTGTTATTGGTTTTGATTGTCAGCACCAAAAAGTAGTGTCGGCTGGGTCTGAAAAGAAATGCGCCGTCTTCGAGTGTTCTCAGCAATGATTTTGCACCTTTTCTATCAGTATTTCGAAAATACGGCTCATTGTTGATATTAACTGCAACAAGAATCAATATGCATGAAACAATTCAATAAAATACCTCTCTCCTGCTCACATATATTTCCAGCACCCTCGTCATCACTTTCTTCGAAATCTTCATCATCAGTTGGCTCGGTTATGTACGAGGCAGGATTGAAATGGACAGGTGGCTTGGGCAAACATGGAATTGGGCTCCTGACTGGCACATCTAGAAAATGATTCTTTCTGCTGGTAGATGTCGGTGGAGTCTTAACTTCACCTCTGTAAGACATAAAACGACCTATATATGTATTTATTTATTTATCGAAAGTGGAGCTTTTTTTATATAAATATAAGCTCCACTTCCGATAAATACTAATTACCTACCTAGGTATAAACAAAACAAGACATTTACGTATATTTGAGCTCGTTTCAACTAGGTCTGGCATCTGAAACATTTGAAAGCGGCGCCAAGTATTGCTTGGCAACAAAAATGGTAACTTGTGTCCAGTAATACTACCTACATGAGGTCCATATCCACCATACTTGGCGCCACTTTCAAGTCAACCATACCAACCCTACCGGAACCGGTACAGGTCATCACAGCCACCACTTCGGATCAACGAAAAATGACCATTAAAAAACGGTTATGCTCCGTAAAAATTACCTCATTGTATTATTCCTTGGATTGGTAATTCTCTTCGGAGGGACAGAGGTATTACGATACTCGGGTTGATTATTTTCCAGATCTATTATTGGCCGATTCTGTATCTTTTTTAGTGCAGAGAGCTCAGAAGTTAATTGGAGCACTAAACTATCTTGAATTGAGGTTTTCGGAAGTTCATTTCGTTTCTGTTGATTGTGACCTTCCACTTTCTGATGTTGGGGACTGTTGAGTGGTGACAGATTTTCGTATTCTGTGGGTTCTTCATCTGAAATAAAAATATTGCCTCTGGCACCTTTTGTATACATACCTACGTTATTCATGGATGCCATATAGATGAATACCTGGTTCATTAAGAGCATTTGGCTGGTTATTTTCGTAAATCTGGTTGTCATCATCATCAATGACATATGATTTGCTTTCATAGTTCACATTATGATTTTTGGTCAATTCCACATATGTGGCAGGTTTTTCGAATATACTATGATTACTGTTTGTTGAAGATGAAGAAGTTTGCCATCGGTAATCCATTGGTACTTTTATTGGTGAAGCTTTGGGCTCTGAAATTTTCGGGATTTCCGGTAATGGCCTATTCACTAGGGAGTTAGGCTTGAATTTCCGGAAACTGGATTTTTCACTTTTCATCGCATGATTTTCGTAATTCATTTCTAACCTGCACGATAAGAACATTTTCATGATGACTATTATGATAACTTTTGGAATGATTTGCACAGGTGCAAGCTTCCGGATACCAATGAACAATATGAACATCAACGATAGATTAGTACGTTTCATAGAAACTATTAATTAGAAATTGCAACATGAAACTTCGCCGTATATCTCAGATGAGAATTTATTCAAAATACCTATACGTGACGAATCAAGTCTTAGCTGATCTTACAAAACTGATGATGATTTTGGGGAAGTCATGATCCCTCTCTACCTCTCGGACCGTGCCTGATGACTGTATGTGAGATTTCAAAAAAAAGTTTATGCAGCACCCGACAAGTCTGCATCTGTACTCGATCGTATAGATTTCATTATTAAGAGAATATTAATAATACTTTCCTATTTTTACCGACGGGATTATCGAGGGCAGTAGGAATGTTATTGGCTCTCATTTGATCACTGGAAGATGGAAAATCAATTGTGTTTGACGGTCTATCCTTTTGCGGTGGCAAAAGACTCTGAGGAAGATAAAACAACATTGTTAGAGTATATTATATCTCGTGCTATACGAGCTCCCACTGCTCACCAAATTATTGGTTCCTTTTTGCTTGTTCAGTTCTATTCTCAAAGGTGGATTATCATAGTTCCTAGTGGGTGTGGGTATGGGCTTCCGGTTAGCTACTGGCGAAACTGAAGACCTCGATAGGCCTGGAACGAGACAAGTCGGTGCCGGTTCGTAATCATCTTCTTCTTCATTCTGCATAGGCGACTTGGATCGTAAATTTGAACGTTTTGTAGGAGCCACAGGTGGATCAAAAATTTTTCTTGGAACGTTATGTTCGTTAGGCACCTCATAATTATCCTCTTCATCTGTTTCTTCTGGACTCTGCACAGCAGGCAGTACCTGTGGGGATTCCCATTTTTTTTTGCTCGATGTAGAAAGAGATCTAATAACTGATGAAACTGGATTTTTTGGCAAATTCACACGTGGTGGCGGCTCGTATAGGTCTTCTGGTTCCAGAGCAGGAGGTTGGTTGAATTTTTCTTCGACAATTTTGCATTGTTTAGGGAAAGTACTCTTATTTATCTGTTTGCTTAGAACGATTCTCGATTGTGGTGGTGGTGGTGGTTGTGGTAGTTCGTAGATATCAGGGTCTCCGCCAGGTTGGGAAGAGTTCTGATGTTGTGCGATGTTTCTACCTGAAAGAAGTTTGGTGATTTTTAACCATGTCTTTGTCATCTTTTCATTGTGATTTGCATTATTGGTTATATATTATACCTACTTATGATTTAAAAAAATTATAGTTACCTGAACTAGATTTACTTCCGTTCTCGAAAGTGTTTTTCACATTATAGTATGTATCCTCTATGATGTCCTCTACGATTTCATTGGGAAACCCATGATTGGCGTGTTTAGGCTGTGCTGGTAGATTTATATAGAATTCATCTTGCTCTTGCTGTGATATGCTATGATTCTCATCGCGCAACGGCAGCGGTAGTTTTTCTCGTTTAACTGTTACATTACCTTGACCAAGCAATGGACAAATTGACGGAGGTAGTTTATTAACTGTTTTATTAGTTCCACCCAATACTTTTTCGAGTTCGTTTGCAAAACCTTTATTTCTGCCTACGCTGGTCTTTATATCCGGGAATCTTGATTTGTTCGTTTCTTTTTGGTCTGATGAAAATTGAGGCGGCGGTGGTTGAAATGTTTTTTTCAGCGGTAATGTTAGCTGAGACTTAGGTTTTGGTGCTACTGAAGGGGCTATCTTATTCAATATGAAAGGATTGCTTTTCAGCTGCTTTATGAAAAAGAGTAGTTGTTTTCTTTGTAGTAACGTGATTTTCCATTTGATGGCTTGAAAATCTGTGGCATCCTGTGAAATTTTATGAATTATATTTGATCGATACCTACCTGTTGATAAATTATATTTTGCAACCTACTATTTTGGGCCCCCTTTATTATATAAAGCATGTATTCACCCAGCAACACTCACCAGTAATTCGTTTCCATTTAGATCCAATTTACCCAAAATCTCTGCTATATCAACGTAGCCGCTCTAAAAATCGGGTGAAACTACGGTTTTTATCTATTCATGGTATTAATCATTGGTTACGAAATATTGAAGTAATAATCGTTAATATAAACATACCTGACTAATAATTCTGATCAATTGTTCTTTATCCAATATTTTTATAGCCTCCAAGTCCATTATGAAAATATCCTCAATTCTTTACCTATATATATGTACATTAATATTGAGGAAAGTATATCTTCATTTAATTATGGATAAAATATATAAGTACTTTCAATAACATGATTCATTGAATTTCTGTTCAGTTAGCGATATGGAGAGGCATTATCGCACTGTGCATGATAATACGATTTGCGGTTTCCTTCCGCTGGGCGGAATGATGCTGATACCCAATATTATATATATACATACATATATTATAAATACTGGATTTACTTTCTGTTCAGTTCGTTGGAATTTCATACGAATAAAGGGAAACCATAGACTCATCGTTATCGTTAATTTATATCTATATTTCAAATCGAAAATAAGACGAACTATGAAATATTTGATAATTTATAATATCATATCAAATAATCTTTGGAAGAAGTCCAAGGTAACTCAAAGTGGAGTGGTATATTCCATAGATGTTCGACCACATAGAGGTACAGATGTTTCGGGCTTATATAAGCCCATCATCAGCCGAATACAAGAATTTAGTTATGGAAAGGAATTTTCCAACTTTTTTATGTATGAGACATATCAAATAATTTTGTTCCCAAGAGGGGTGGATTAATAAATTGTTGAATACCCTGTTGAATAAAGAAATTTCCCAAATAAGAGTCAAATTCCGCCACGCTGCTATAATTTTGTGTTTTATGATCCCTGATAATTAACTGTACTCTGTGGATCGAGGTCTGTGATTCCGTGGTAAAAAATGACAAACGACAGACGACAAATATTTTGGCAAATGTCAAGTCGTTATTTATTTTGAATAAATAAACCAAAGAAAAATCAATAATGACCGAGTAATCCTAGGTTGGTCCGAGTATTAGGAATTTTTACGTTTGTAAAAAAGTGTTTCCAATACACCGATTATCAGTACCTTATATTCTCCGAGCCTCGATCCCTCACTTGAAATCTTCTGTTGGAAATCAGCCCCCTCAAAAATCCAACCATTGATCCCATGACTCCAATGAAAGAGGCGTCGCCTCCAGTTTCGGCAATGGCCACCCCTACCAACAGCAGTGGAAATCTTGTAGACGAATTTGAAGAAGCATTCCAGGTGAATATTGTGTCTATTAGAAGATTATCACATTATCTATGTGAATACAATATTTTGTTTCATGTTATTATATTCCTCAGCACTGCTTGAATGTTCTCACAAAAGAAGAAGCTGTCCCTACATCAGACAAAGACGAAATAAAAGTAGAAGTTGAGCAGACAACATTAAGATTCATAGACTTGGCTAGACAAATGGAGGCATTCTTCCTTCAGAAGAGGTTCCTACTATCTGCATTGAAACCAGAGATGAATGTCAAAGAAGACATCAGTGAATTGCGTTTAGAACTGGCTCGCAAGGAAGAGTTGCTGAAAAGGCACTATGAGAAGATTGCCGTGTGGCAAAATTTACTGGCAGACATACAGAGCTACTCCAAAAGCCCTGCACAAGGTAAATACCTATTGAGTGAAACTCAAAATAGCAAACACAGTCAAATTCATATTATTTTTGTGATTTTTTTTAGGCAGTGTCACTCCTGGTGGCAGTTCAATACCTCCATCTCCCATACCTATACCAGGCAATCAGACACCCAATCAGATGATCCCTAGTATACCACCAGCAATGCAACAACAGTTGCAGCAGCAGCAGCTGCAGCAACAACAGCAGCTGCAGATGCAGCAGCAAATGCAGCAGATGCAACAGCAGCAGTTGCAGCAAATGCAGGTAGATCGCCGGTAAAATTGTTATATGAGGCATATACCAAGATTATTTATTTAGGAAAGGTATCTAAAACTATTTATTAGTGCTTCACCTTTTTTGCTATAGTAGTTTAGAGGAGCAAACTGCCATCAAAATGTTGTGTGCCTAAATTTCAGTTACTTGAAGAATTTCAAGAAATTCTATGACCTCTGAGAAATTATGGGAAAATCCAAATTAATTCTCTGTATGTGCACACCACAATTTTATAATGTACTTGAAGAGATGGAGGTCACAATTGTAGTACAAAATTATGGTTTCTTGGTATATGCTGTCTGCTATTAATTGTATATAATTATTGTCTTCAGTTTTTGCCTAGATTCAGCATTAAAAGGAAGAACCCTGTATTCCTCCAATTGGACTGTTGCTTCTTGCCAAAAACCTTTTGGCTCAGAAAAATATATGTATACATAGTGAGCATATAATAATTTTTCATTTTCCTATTGAATTTGTATTATCCAGATGATTCATGAAATTGCTCCATCCATATTTTGAGTGCCAAGTCAATATTTTGAATAATAATGCCATAAAGCCAGATTTCATTTTGTGGTGTTTCTGTTTTAGCCAGATTTTTGGCAAGAAGTTGAAAAACTGAATGACTTTAGTTCTGCTCTCCTGTCACTAGTGTATATTTTTGTATACTAACTCTCAGGGTTTTTTAGAAAGTGGCAATATAATTTAATTTTTTGAAGATCGATCAACTGAATGTGATATGTAAAAAAGTAGCTTGAGAAATTGTACTAAATGTATACAATGTCTACTTTTGCTCAAATGTGCCTTTACTAGAATATTAGTTCTATTCATAACTATGTAAGTTTCCTTGAAAGTGTTGCAGATCTATTATCATTTAATTTTCTTGTATAAGGTATGCAAAATAAACTTTGTTTTTTGAATTTTTTCTAGTTTTATTTCTATTGAAATTGTTGCTGCTAAAAAAATCGGAGGGTTGGTATTCACAAATATATGCTTGCTTGTAGAAAGCTCTCATTCCCACATGAAAATTTCTCTCTATATATTTTTCTGTCAATTTACCTTGGCCATGATTTGCATAACAGAATAATATTTCATTCTGGTTGATTTTTGTGGTGTTTGCAACCCTCCAATTTTTTTTTCTACTAGATTACTGAGAACACACCACTGTGAGTCTTTGTCTCCAAAAGTGTGTACGGTTTTCCAACCTATCCTATCTTGAAATATACTGTTCAACATTTGAAATGTGACACCTCCAAAGAAGATGAGGCCAATGAATATAGATTATACAAATTGAAAAAAAAAACGCAGTAATTTGGGGTGCCCAACTACATTTCTGTTTCAATATTATATCTATTGTACAAGAGAAATTTCAATAGTGACTGTTATTCTTTTGAAGTCAAGATGCATTTCCCTTTGGATTTTGTAGATTTTGATAATTATTTCAAGAATTCACATACACTGAATTCACCTAACACTTGTGTAGGTATCTATAGATTGGGTGGGAACGTCTCCTTTGACCCAATTTTCGATTCGCCCAATTTACGACTCCCAATTTTCGGTTCACCCACCGTCTCCGAACATTCCCTAAAGATGCGTTATTGTCAAATAATGCCACATTTACTGGAATACATTGGAACGGGAATTATCAACAATCATTTTATATACATATATGTCGTTGGGTTATCATTTCGTTTCACCCAATTTTCGATTCGCCCGATGTTCGATTCGCCCAATTTTCGATTCACCCAATTTTCCATTCGCCCGATTTTCGATCCGCCCAATTTTCGATTCATCCAATTTTCGATTCCCTCTATTGTCGATTCACCCAATTTTCGATTTGGCCGAGTTGGTAGGTTAGATTAGGCAGTTTGGAAAAGGTAGTCTCTTTCCTAATGCAGAAAATAATATTTTCCTTCCTTATATTACGAAATTCGGGTCGATCGAAATTTGGGTGAATCAAAATTTGGGTGGATCGAATTGAGCTCTTTTCTACCTTGAACGAGAAAGAGGAACGTTCTCTCCTCTTCCATCTTCCTCTGCAATGATACCAACGTGGCCGCATTGAAATATAGAGAGGTCCGATAAACCTTTCCTTGTCTAACCTCCAGTCTGCGCCACTGAACTATTTTCGATATTATGAAGACGTGATATGTCTATGTCATGAATGTCATTGACTGGTGACATTTCGAATTTTCAAAATGAAATTTTGATTTATATCATACTTATTTTGACATAATTCAACAGTGGTGAACTATTGAGGAGTGAAAAAAGTCATTGTTTACGTTTGTCAGCGTAATATTTTTGGTTTTGACATCTGCTTCTGTGCGAAAGAAGCAATAATTATTCAGAAAAGTAATTTGCAAAAACACCTAACTTCATTTTTCTGGACTTTCCGCTTAACAAATACTTGATAAATTCTCACATCCTGTGTTGAAATACCAATTGAAGTTAAGAATAAACTGTTTTACATGTCTGTTCTATAAAAAGTCACTCACCAATTAGCAGAGATTGATCTCTGTGAAAAGAAATTGAACACAAAATATCAGAGGCGTGAATCACGTTGCCAACTGTTAGATACTTGGTTTTGACGACCCCCTTTTATTTTGTTTCTTAGATAAGGGGTTTTGTATTTTTGGATTTTAAAATATTTACAATTTTTTCTCAGTTGTGAGGTTTTGCATAATATGCATCCCCACCAATATGATAGACCGATTGGCTTTGCGGTTTCGTCGACGTGATTACCGAATACTCATTAGGTAGAATCACAATTTCACCACTAGGTGGCGTCTAGACTTTTGAATTCGCGAATAACAATAACTTTTTTCTGCAACCGACACAAAAGTCGTCCATTTTGATACCAAAATTAGCTCTTAAATTGACGTTTCTATTACTGACACAAAAATAGGTATGTTGCTAGGCAACATATTTAGTTCCTAGGAGCTAAAGTTGAATGTACTGGACGTCATCGAGAATGAACAACATTGTGACGGTTGGTTATTTGGGTTGAGACGCATATACCTGATTTGTTTCCGATTTCAGCAGATTTGGCATTTCATACCCATGCTGGAGATATAAATACACCTTATGATAATAGTTTGGTATTGGAATTATAGACATCTCAGTTAAGTATTTTTGTTTTGATCAGGGAAGCCTTCAAGATTCAAATACTTGCTTGATCTGTATTTCATTCGTTATTCTCGGGATGGATAACATGTTTCTGTATAATCACGGCAAGCAATCGGTTTTTGTCTCAAACAACGATGTTGTTTAGCTTCATTTGATTATCAAGTCAAACACAGTGTAGTATGGAGAAATAAATAATCACTATTATCATTGTTGATATATATATAGCACTGGCGCGGTATTTGCCATTAGAGCACCTGGACCTGGTCCATACACAAATATGTCACTCTGTGGTTGTATTTATATTGAAACTACAATTCGAACATCCTAGAAAACCTAACCTGCTGTTAATGCAGGTAGAATATTCTCACTACATGGATTATTTGTCATTATTTGTTGCATTGCATACATATGGCACGGCATTGGTGGTTACTTCACATGTTTATTCGAGTTAATTGTTTCGGTTGCAGAAAAAATAGCATGTTTCATTCGGATCAAAAGTGACTTTGTTCGACTCGCAAATTTTGCTTTCGCTCGGCTTCGCTAAACGCTCCGCCTCGCAAATGCAAAATTCGCTTGTCAAACAAAGTGTCACTTTTGATCCTAATAAAACAATCTACTATTTCATTCCCACGGAAACAAATTAATCTCGGAATTAATCTTCCCCACCCGCTCGACATCCCATTCAATCCCGCCTGATTCCAGGTGGGCGGGCCGAGCTTGTCGGGCGGCGGGGCGGGCCTAGGCGCGGGCATGCTGTCGCCGCAGCAGGCGCTGTTCATGCAGCAGCAGGGCATGGGCGGCGCCTCGAGGAGCCCTTTCGGGCGGCAGTCGCCCGCCGGCGTGCTGCAAGGGCCGCTGGCCTATCTCGAGAAGACCACCAGTAATATAGGTGAGTGTAGGGTGAGTGTACTGTCCCTTGATGGAAATTGACGTTGAGTCATCTTCACAGGGTACGGACAGGTCATAGCTGCATTCTTTTTCAATTCGCGAAAATCACGAACCAATAGATGGCTCTATTATATGTCAAATCAACGTCAAATTTCCGACTGAGTATGAACAACAAAAACATTGCCGTATGCACTCATTGCAAATTGGTTATTTCCAAATCATTTTTCAAAATAGTGAATAATAAGTTGACTTCTTGAAATACATACAAGGTTTCCAGTATGGAAAAAATTACTTTTTGTGCAGAGATATTGCCATTTTGATGTGGACAATGGTGGTATTCATCATTGATATCACACTACAATCCCACAGTTTTCAAACATATGGAATGATCGGAATGGTTAACTCAACACTTGCATGGACTGGAATGGAACCATACAAGCAATCAGCTATTACAACAATATGGTATAGGTATGAAGAAATAATTGAATTCATCAAGAAATATCACTTTTATGAAGGAGATGGAATTCTAGTGAAGGGGTTGGGAAATAAGATATGGTTGGAGAGGCTGCTCAGAATGAACAATATCATCGATTTATATGAACAAGGATCTCCAGTAATTGAGGACTTGAAGTTTTTCTCAAGATCGAATCATTGCAACCAACATTTATACAATGATTCTTATTGTGCTTCAGAAAATGTATATAACATTATAAGGTAGGTACTGGTTTCTTCATTGTAAACAATAAAAGTTCATGCAATAATTCGAGTTTTTTCATTAGGGAGAGATGAGGTTCTGGAATATGCACTTCAACAAATACATTATTTTCAAATAAAACACATATTTATGAAATTCAAAACAATGGTCGCCATATTTGTTGTTCATACTCGCAAGACTTGTACAGTTAGCCACCAGAGGCCGCACACTTCGTGATTTTCGCGAATGATCTAGAGATTTTAGTTTTGTCTACTGGCATCCCTGACATTGCTGTCACGTCACGTCCATGCTACAGAAAATCATTCAAAATTTCAATAATAGGTATGTACAGGGTACTTTTTGTAATTATGATCCGATTCTATTCAAAATTGGAAGGTATGTGGGGTTTTCCGGGGTTGGAGATGATGATTGTTTCGTCAAACTTGGAAAATTCAAGATGACGGATTCAATATATAGCAAAAGAAATTTCTAATCATGATCTGATTCTATTTAAGATTGGTATCTGAGGGTTTTCGGGGTCAAACTTTATGATTTTTTGTCAAAATTGGGAAATTCAAGATAGTGTATCCAATATGGCGAACGAAACTTGTAATTATGATCCGATTCTATTCAAGAAATCAAAATTGGTATCTGGGGATTTCCGGGGTCGGAGATTATAATTATTTCGTCAAAATTGGGATATTCAAGATGGCGGATCCAATATGGTGGACGAGTTTTGTAATGAAGATCCGATTCTATTCAAAATTGGTATCTGGGGGTTTTCGGGGTAGGAGATAATGATTGTTTCGTCAAAATTGAAAAATTCAAAATGACGGATCCAATATGGCGAAAGACATTAGTTTATATAATTATTACTCTACCACAAATAGAAAATATGTAGGATGCAAGAGTGAAAATAACGTGCCTATAAGTTATACTGCGTATACTTAGCGTATACTTAGCGTATACCTACTTCTTTGTTACTTTCATCAATAAATTATTGGAAAATGACTTTTTATTTACAAGAGAAGGAAAAATCATATGTATATCATGGAGGTGAAGTATATTCTATTCTTTATTTTCCTGCACATTTTACGTATTAATTTTTATCAGCCTACTTTTCGTCCAAGACGAAGTTTTAAACAAAGTGTGATATTAGTAACTCCTTAAATTCTTCTCCGAGTTGGATTTCTGAAAATATATTCAGCATACATGACATGAGTACAGTAGTCTAGATACCCACATCGAGGTTTCCACCATTTCTCAATCATAAAGTTCAGCTCATTCAGCTCATAGATAAACTACTGCTCAGCTTGAAATCAGAATTTATTCAGTCAATTCAGTCAACTCTGGTATACAGTCTAAGAACAGTCTCTTTTGGTGAAATATATTAAGCTTTTAGTACAAATTATATGTTCCCTACCTCGCAAAGATTATGCTGGAGTAGTAAACTCTAAAACTAGAGGATTGTTCAACTATATCTTGGTATAGTTAAATCAGGAATTCCATATGGAAATTACGTATGATACGCCAATGATCTCAATATAACCTAAAAAACAACAAATGTCAAAAATCTAGTGTTTTTCCCCAGACTTGAATAAGGATGGAACTATATAACTGTTTCACAAACACTTTAGAGTGAGAGGAGACGAGGATCTGTCCGTACCCTGTTAAGATGACTTTAACGTCAATATCCATCAAGGGACTCTAGCGTCAATAATCAAAAAGGCTCCAACCTAACCTATCTTCTTCCCTTAGACTTCGCGGGCATGTCGGACGGTCGCAGGTGACGCGGAAGGGGGCGGGGGCGCGGCAGAGGTAGGGGCAGAGGCAGGGGGCGCGGTCGCGGCGGCGCAGCAGGCGGCCTGCCCCCCGATTACGCGTCCCCCTAGGGCCCCCTTCCCCCCGACGGCGTGTCGGCGGCACAGCTCGTCGGGGCCTACTTCGATGACCCCTTCGCGGGCTGAGTAGCGTTCAGAACATTCTGATATGATGCGGGGGATTTTTGGTTCTCCTCGGAATGGGGTTGTATGTACACACTATACCTTTTCAACTTCAATTTCGGAATAAGTTATATTTCGGAGAAGGTATACTCGATTTCAGGATTGGTTAGTTCGATTTCACAAATGGTAAACTCAATTTCAGAATCGGTGAGTTGAAATTCAGAAAAAGTCTATTCAATTTAAGAAATAGTAAGTAGTATTTCAGATAATACATCCTTATATTTGTTCGACATATTTTTAGTTGCATGTAAAATGAACAAACCATCTTAAGAATATTTAAATTTTTTATAATAAATAGATAACATATACAAACTTGAAATTTAATTAATCCATACAGACATGTCTCCCATTCGAATCGCGAAAGATTAGTGACGTTGCACATGATTTAAAAGAATTCAAACACTTTTGAGGTGTATATTCTCATTGATTGATCTGCACATTCTTCAAGACATCACAGCCTGAATTCTATTTGGTTAAGCAATCTGTTTGGATCCCCGGCTATAAGCCTTTGGTGATGCTCTTGCAATTGAAGGTATTCCATGATATGTTCAATTATTGGGTTAATTATAAGGTGCCATAAAGAAAATGAGGACATCTTGAAATTCTTCCTCCATGCCAATCTCCTCTATATATTCTTGAATGTGACTTTTTCTGAAATTCAACTCACCGATTCTGATAAAATATTGTCATCACGAATTATCTACTTCCTCACCAAGTTTTACGGGATTCCAATCATTCGATGGATATGAATATCAGGACGGGTGCGATTTCATGGAAACTTGAACATCTTGTGTATAATATGTAGTCTGTGTACTACGAAATGTCGAAAAATGAATTGATTTCAACCGCTCACTTTTTCGGAAATAATTGAAACATTTGCTATTTTTGGACCAACTCTGTATATCGTGAGTACGTGCAGATATCATTGAACTCTATAGTGGATTTTCACCGGCCACATGGACAAACAAAACGTAGTCGATTTGATTTTGGTATTCAAAAAGGAAACTTCACAATGGCCATTCGAAATTATGAAAAAGTCAACTTCGGCACCCTGTATAATCCAAACTATTGAATTTAGAGCCTTGATCTTATCAGCATCACGAGTTTTACGATATATCCAAAATTCGAGAAAATTCACCGAAAGCCAATTTCCCCCCTATTGCGGTGCGGGGTCCTTTCAAAAATAGTATCTTGATAAAAAGGTAAGATACAGAACGAGTCCAACGACAATACCCGATCATATCAGAATATTTGAACGTTTCAGTGTAGCTGTATTTATGTGAATCTTGTAAACACTAGCAATCTCAATATTCAAACTGATTTTTTTGTGACTCAGAAGTGTTCTTGTCTGAATTATTGTTGAAAAATGCAATCGAATTGATTTTTACTCATGAAGAATTTAAGGTATGGTGATTACAAGAATCATAAATTCTTAGTCAATAGTATTATTTATGCGGATGTATCCTTATTGTAGAGGAAACAACTCTATTTTCCAAAATACTTATAATATTAATGCAATAAGTAAGTAATTTTTTTATCTATCGGAATATTATCAATGATTATTTTGTCTTGAGTAAATATGATCTGCTCTAGAATTATTTAATATTAATTGTTATTGGTCAGTATTTTTGAGATATTTTAATCCATGATGGTTGTTGGTTTTTTAGTTGGTATCTAGATTTTTTTTATCTTGTTATGGTTTATGTGGTTTAGATAAATCAATTTATAATATGGAACTGATTTGTCCTCAGAAATATTAATACCATCTTGTAATTGCTTTCACAGTTTTGATGTTTTCTAATTTTGTACAGGGTGTAATATATATTATGGTCCCATACATTCCAAATTGTCCATCCAAGAAAAACTCACATTGGATGTATAGACAAAAAAACATCTCATCAAACCAGTGATGAAAACTTTTTATGGATATTTTGTTGAACAGTTTCTTGTTCTGCATTCCCACTCATTTTTCGTGATTTTTCGCATTTTTCGATGTAATTGAGCACTCTCGAATAATATCAATCAATTCCCTGGCAATACAACTGGATTTTTAGATATTTCTGTGATTTTATATTAGGGCACATGTGGAAGTTAAGCACTTTTTGACGTTAATTATGAATTGATTTTGTTTTAGTGCTGTTTTTTGTACGTGTAACGTTACCGAATTTCAAAATTGTGATATATGACTAAAAGGTGAATAAAGGAATAGTGTACTCAACATGTGTTTTCTATCTCAAATTTCGTTCTTTGAGGTCGATAATAAATTATTTCCAGTCATGGAAATGCAAATCAAAAATGAATTTACCATTTTGTAAAAACATATTTATATTTTTGAACTACATTGTGTTAACTGTTTATTTATTGAACAACATTTTTTATTCGTCTCGCAATTGGGATTTCCTCAAAATACGACTATGAATATGAATTCAAAAATTTATTGAGCTTTCTAATAACTCAATATGGAAGTCCACCCTGTGATAAATGAGAAGAATGTTCATCTGCAGCCTTTGTCAGGGTTTCTGAAGTGCTAAAAAATATAACAGACTTACTTAATTCGTTTTCTACTCTACGCAAGGTGAATACACACTAATATGTGAATTTCCAGATTTTTTTCATAATGAAATTGAAAGCATTGTTCTTTATTCTGAATTGATTGCTTTTTTATGTTCTGGTTCCCACGCTTGCATGGTTTTCAATAAGGTTATTTTTTATTCACCAGCTAGCTGAATCCTAAGAAAAAAATCACGGAATCCAAGATTAAGTATTCCAAAAAAAAACAACTAATTTTACCTATTTTCATGTCACGTATATGCAACCTTTGAATTTATTCACGCTTCAAACAATAATAAATTGAAAATTTCTGAATCTTGTTGACATTCAAGTGAAGTGAAATTACTGAATGGTTGTTCATTGGCATCTTTGAAATTCTATTTGCACCCAAATATTCATGAGTATGTTGAATTTCGCAATTCTGTAACATTAAGTTCAATTTTTCAACCCCTCTACAAGGGTTGGGAACGTGAGGAAGACATTCACCTTATTTTTTCTACAGTCAAGCATTCACAACTGCCAATTTTCGTCCCTTAACATCTAGATTCTAGATCATCCCCAAAGAGATGACGAACTTCAAAATAGAAGAAATGCAACTTACAGAAATACGCCGCAAAATCTGCGTGGCAAAACAGATGATCACCCACATTACCCACCCCTAACCTGCCCCTCCACAAACTCGATCAGCGTCCTAGTAGGCCTCCCCGTCATCCCCTTGTGCAAATACACCGTGTCGTCCTGCGGCCCCATCACCCCCGCTATATCCAAGTGCAGCCAGGGGGTGTGGGGCGGGGCGAACTCCCGCAGGAAGGCGGCCGCCGTGCAGCTGCCACCCCCTTTGCCTTTGCCCACGTTGTTGAGGTCGTAGGCGGGGTGGTCGGCCACCTGTTTGGTGTAGTGCCTCCAAAGGGGCATGCGCCACACCCTGTCGCCGGTGACGGAGCCTGCTGATTGGAGCGCGGCGTAGAGGCGGTCCGATGTGGAGAACACGCCTACAAAAAGGGGAGGGGCCAATGAGAAAGGAGTGTTCCTAGGCAATGAACTCAATATAAACAACTGGAAGGGAGACGGCCGTTCTCTCGAATAGCACAAAGTGTGTCAGGGGCAGCTGCAACAAAGATAGCATGATTTACCGTAACCTGTCTCTTTCCTACTCGTGTTGTTTAATGGTGGATTGGTGTTTACGTTTTCTTTTATCTAATAATTAAAGTACTTTAGATTTTTTTCTCTCATCTAAACAGGCAAGAAAGTGAAGACATAAGTTCATTGTCTTTGTTTATGTGAAATATCTATTCATTTGGCGTGTTTTGTTTTATAAAAAGGACTGAATTTGTTGGTGTGAATACTGTGAACTGATTGTTGAGAAGGTTTTGATAAACAATGGTGATTTATTGTGTCGCCTTTGGATGCAAGAACGAGCAAGACAAAAGGAAATTGTCATTCCATGGGTATGTTGAATATTGTTCAGATTTTTGGAAAATATAGATCTCGAAATGATAATCAGTTAGGTGTACAATGTTCCCAGTCTCAGAATATGTTCAAAAACTATACCTATACTATTGGTCAAATTTAAATACTTCCATGACTTTTCCATGAACATATTAAGTAATATTATTTGTTGCAGTTTTCCATTCAGACATTCTTGAGTTATGGATTAAGGCAGTTCGTAGAGAGAGTTGGACTCCATCTAAAACCAGCAAGCTTTGTGGAGAGCATTTCCTGCCAACTGATAATTTATTTAGACATACCAGGTACTGCTAGGTTATTGAAACCAGATGCTGTACCCAGTATATTTCCATTTCCTAAGCATTCGTTACCAAAAAATACTGATCCTTGAAGGAAAATAAGAAAACTCATAGGTACCTAGTTGATTAATAATGAAAAAAAGTATGTTTGCACCTCTTTGAAATAAAAAACTAGCTAGTAATTTATTTTCAGGATGCATCTGTGGAAGTTCATAACATTGGGCCCTAAGGAAGATGTTTCTCATATTATGGACTTTACCTATATGACTTCCAGCTCCCAAGTTTCGAAGTTCATCAATAAAGAAACCCAAACTGTTCCATTGGAGAAGGACATTGTATTGAAAATCGTATTTTATAAACAGGGAGAGAGGGATTCGAAAGGAAAGAAGTGAGTTTCCAATGCAGCTTTTTTAGTTGGTGACGATTATTCGAGGAATATTCGTTCAAACAAACCACGCTTCCTGAAGGACTCGTGACCTGTTAGTCTTTACATTTTGGCAAGAAAAAAACAAGTTTTTGTGAAAAATAAAAATAATGAAAATTACCTGTCGCCGCGTTGCCTAACGCCACCCGCATCGCCCCCGTCAGCGTCGCGACGTCCAGCACCCACTCGGGCTTAAACTCGGCGCTGTAGCACAGCGCGTCGGCGAGGATGAGCCTGCCCTCGGCGTCGGTGTTGTCGACGCAGATCGTCTTGCCGTCCCGAGCCGTCACGACGTCGCCGGGCTTGGTGGCGCAGCCCGACGGCATGTTCTCCGTGAGGGGAAGGAGCACCCTCAGGTTGGCGGGGGTGCCAAGCTGGGCCAGACCGAAAATGGTGCCTGTATAGAGGCAGATAGGCATGTTTGATAATAATAATACGTTTTTTCTGTGACGGGAAAAACGTTTGGCATTTCATCTCTGTTGGCAGGTTATAATATGTCACTTTTCATAAATTACTTTTTTCCCGTGGGAAAAACGTTAGTACTTTTTTCCCGGATATATATCACATATATACAGAATGATGCAAATGTATGGAATAAATTCATTTCTAAACAAGACGACTTTCGAAAAAAATCCAAAAACTAGAGTTCAGAACCTTTTTAATTGATTTATTTTTTAAACTAGACGACCCTTCAATGTTAAATTCTCAGTAGTAGACCCCTGCAAGATTCAGTTAATCAAATGATAATCCATTTTAATTTCAATCTTCTTATACAAAATTTTGACTGTTGAATAGACGATCAGTAGACCTTTCAAACGAGGTGTCACATGACCTCTGTTTGTATTTGAAAAAATCGTCCATCACGTCATTACTCCAACATCGCTAACGTAATATCTCTCATATGAATATCATGAGATGGGGCTTCAAAAATGAAAACTCACGTGTTTTTGGAATTTTTTCAAATGTCGCCCATTTCTGAAATAATGAATTTATTCCATACATTTGCATCATACTGTATATACATACACTGTTGATGGCTTTTGTTGTGCTATAGTTCCGAAAAATGAGTCAATAATACCGTCTCCGAGAAAGAACTGCAAGTCCTTTTTTCTTCCATTCGACTTCGCGGTTACGTATATTACTAAACAACCACAAAGTTCGCAATTTTTTTAAATCAAATCACAGAATTAGACTGACAGAAGTGACATCAGATATTTGATTACTTCTAAAGAATGATAAAGATGCCTACAACGCAGGTGTCCCTACTGTTAAAAACTTGAAATTTCACGTCGATAATTTTCAGATTTCAAAATAATGTAATATCTTCTCAATATTGATTCGTACTTTCTTCTGTCACAGAAAAAAATAGTGTATTATTCACGGGAAAAATATTAGATTTTAGCTCACGGTTTTTTGTCAACACAACCTGGAGCTAAAATCTGCAACTTTTTTCCCTTGTATAATAAATAACTATTTTCGTCGGTTTTCGCAGATAATTCATATTTTACGTATTACTCAGAGACATGTACATATTGGAAGAGCATACAATTTCTTAATGAGCTCATGTAGATTTCGTCATTATGAAAAAAGGTGAACGGCTCTTAGAGCGCTCGGACTTGGAGACGTGTTTTAGTCGTAGTTTTCACACTCATGTTCATCCTTTAAACTTATATGATTTGGATCATATGAACCTATATTCATTAAAGCTCTAAAACGTATAAATAGGTCATTGCTTTGTTTTTGTATTGTGTGGAGTGATGGACAAAAAAAAATTAAATTCTGTACGCTGGAATTATAGTTGTTATAATTGCGATACAATAATTCCAAATGCTATATTCCTTGAACATTTTGATAAAAAACTTAAAAGTACCTATTTTGTGATAAGTATTCGAATCAATTCTCGCTCATGTGGGTTCCAAGGCGTCAAGGGAATGAGGCAGCTGATCGCCTAGCAAAAAAGTGCAGAGCTCACATTTTACCTTTCTGTGAGACAAGCAAATGCCACCTTATCAAAGAGCTCGGAAAATAAAAATGAAGTGAAAAATCCTACTGTACAGACACTCCAGGTAAACGAGAAGGAAAGATTTCTCCAACAATTCGTAAGCTAGTGAGTCTCAGCAAACAAGAGCTAAAGCACTACCCTCTGAGCTATTATAAAAAAATGGGTCACCTTTGTTCATGTAATGTACCAGTCCGCCAAAGGTTGACTACCCTAGAACAGGTCTAGATAATGCCTGTTGAGGCGGAAAATTCAACCGTCAAGAAAATATTAGGCTTCATTAGAAGTCTAGGGTTATAGAAAGCAATCAATCAGATGAGGGTCGTCCTATAATCTGAAATCAAATCGTCACTACATCGTCGTTTGCAGGGGGCTGGTACCCTGAAGGACCCGGTTCTGGGGATGGTGGTGCAGGTGGAGCAAAGCGTATTTTCTCCAGGATCCCCCAATAACAAGCATTTGCCGTAAATTCGAAGATAGCCGACAGTGAAGGAAACTCTTCAAACTATATTTTCTTCAAATGTTTGACATTTCTGATATTCGTTGCTAGGAAACTTGATTTTTCTACTCCGTTAATGAATAACAAGAGGCAGGTAAGAAAAATAATATTCTTCCTAGTTGATGTGAATATACTGCGCAGCGGACGAAAAGTTAGTGTACTTGCCTTCGGAAATAGGCGGTTTTTGGTTCGGATTTTAGAACGTAAAATGTGATTTTTTGTAGAAGTCGACGAAAAAATATAGTTTCTCAGCCTGGGTTAAATTATTTTATATCGTGAGTGATTTTCGAAGAGATACTAAATATCTCCCCCCCCCAGTTTAATTCTATTATCATCATTAGCCATAGATAAATCATTCGTCCGGATATTAATCGGTTAGCAGCATGATTCAACGTATTAGTCATTCATTCGAGACCAGGTGAAGAATCCAGACAGTCTCATATTAGATGTCATCACATACGGTCGAATTTTGTGATCGAAATTGAAAAATACGCGAAAGGAATGATTTATCGTTCCAAAAGGAGTGTTCACTTAAAAATGAGTGATTGTGTTTGTGTAATTCCTCATTCAATTCAATAATAACAATATCGGGATTGTGACGATTGTGTGTTGTTTTGGTGTTTCGTGTTGTTCAATCAAAACTGAGTAAGTAAAGAGAAATTCTCTCAATTTTTCCTCATATGGCCCTGTATATTTATTTAACTTCATTACCCTATATGTTTTGTACCGTTTGTTGTATTTTTTTCCGATCAAGAAATACTGTCTTCTGATTTTCGTGCTATCTGTTCACGACTGTATTTTTTAAGAACAAAATAATGCGAAAAGAGCGAACCTTAATAAAATAAGACGATTCGAACATTTTTCATCAACACTTTTTTTTACCTATACAGGGTATTTCATAATGTACAGGGTGGGCCAAATTGGACACTTTTAAAGGAAAAGTTCTATTCTCGAACCAGATGGAAGAAAACTGATGTCGGTGCCTGAGGGTCGATTCTCATGAAAAATTCAATGGTGTAATATGCATATCGATATTTGTAGTCGTGTTGGAGTTACAAGGTGTTTTTAGAAAATGGGCAATTTTGAAAAGTGGCAATACAGATAATTTTTTGGCAAAAATGGTCTGTTCTTATGAAAATAACTACAAAGAATTGTGTTTGTGATAAAAATTGTTCTCGAGGCACTGAAATCGGCCTTTCTATATCTAGTTCAAGAATATAACTTGTTCTTCTTGAAAGAAAAGTTCTATTTTGCAACTAGGTACCTGGTGACTGATTTCAGGGCCTGATGATCAATTCTCATGACAAACACAATGCTTTGGAAATGTTTTCATGAAAATGGAGATTTTTTGGCAAAAAAAAGAGTTTTAGCCACAGAAATTCACATTTTTTGAAAACACCTTGTAACTCAATAATGATAGATATCGATATACGGATTTCACCTTCGAGTTCGTCATGTGATTTGATCAACAACAGGCATCGACATCAGTTTTCTTCTATCTTGTTCGGGAATAGGACTTTCTCTTTAAAAGTGCCAAATTCGGCCCACCCTGTACATACGATACCTAGATAGATAAAGGACACTTTGGTGATTCACCCCTATCGATGTGTCTACCATCTTTAATAACTGCGATACAGAACATGGTCATGCTCTTGGCAAAATCTTTATCTATGATCAGGTCATAACTTTTGGATCACTTTGTATAATCGATTCATACCTGATAAGTATATTCAGCTCATATTACTTATCAAAACTAAATAGGAATTGAATTTAGAATCCAAATTCGTCTTCAGGAAAAACAGAAAACTTCTTCTTTTTCAAAAACAACACTCTGTATATGATAATTTCGTAGATATGTTTTTATATCTGCAGAGTCCAGGAAAAATTAATGAATTGGTCTACTTTTCAACAGTGCGCATCCAATTTGAAAAATAGAATTTTTATTGAACTCGTAATTCAGAATCCAATTTTATTACAAACAAATAACCAGTCCTCAAAATTCAAATTCATTAGAGCCGAATTAGGTGAACTGTCGATGAATTTCGTTCCATAGAATAATTTGTCAATTATTTCAGATATTTTCGAGTGCTCATTACATTTTCACAAACACAAATGTCAAATTGGATACCCGCTCTTGAGAAGAAAGCCACTGGGTTGATTTTTTCATACTCCTTTCAGTTGTCAAAACATATCTAGAGATTTTTGGAAAGATTATATTTTCAGTCTGTGTTTAATTTTTTCAAATCGTTAGACTTTCGAAAATAATACTGTCAGTATATCCGTGTTCAATACTTCTTATATTTTTATCTATTTCTCCCCCCCCCCGTATAATTTCATTATCATCATTAGTCATAGATAAATCATTCGAATATTAATCGGTTACCAGCATGATTCATCTTATTATTCATTCATTCGGGACCAGGTGGTGAACCAAGACAGTCGTATATTAGATGTCATCACGTACGGTTGAATGTTGTGATCGAAATTGAAAAATACGCGAAAGGAATCATATATCGTTCCAAAAGGAGTGTTCATTTAAAAATGAGTGATTGTATTGTGTTATTTGTGTTTGTGTAATTCCTCATTCGATTCAATAACAATATCGGGATCATGTGTTGTGGTGTTTCGTGTTGTTTAATCAAAACCGGGTGAGTGAAGAGAATTTCTCTCAATATTTTCTCATATTGCCCTGTATTTATTCAACTTCACCTATATGTTTTGTACCGTTTGTTGTATTTTTCCCGATCAAGAAATACTTTCTTCTGAATTTCGTGCTTTCTGTTCAGAACGGTATTTTTAAAGAACAAAATAATACGAAAAGAGCAAACCTTAATGAAATAAGACGGTTCAAACATTTTTCATGAAAAAATATTTTTGCCTATACAGGGTATTTCAGAAT